CAATGTTGCACTGTCAAATCCTCTGTCAAATGTAATTACTTATCCATTTGATCAACTGTTCAATTTCCAATCCGTTACTTGTACAGAGGTTCAACGCATTATCATGGCTATGCCAAGTAATAAGTCACCAGGACCAGATAAAATAGGCATGCGTGTCATCAAAAACTGTCTTCCAATCATACTGGGTCCTCTTACGCATATGATAAATTGCTCTCTAATGACAAGCACATTCCCTGACCTATGGAAGATTTCTGAAGTTATACCCCTACTAAAAGAAGGAGACCACGAGATAGCCTCAAACAATCGGCCTCCCTCACTACTCGAGGTAGTTTCAAGAGTTTGTGGAAAAGTTGTTCTAAATCAATTTAGCTCCTACCTCAAAGAAATTAATCGCATATCGTCACATCAAAGCGGGAATAGGAGTCTTCACTCCACCGAAACCTTAAACATATTTGTTACCGATACGATGTTGGAAGCCATAGACAACAAAAATCTAACGGCACTAATTTTATTGGATTTATCCAATGCATTTGACAGTGTCAGTCATTCGATTTTATTACACAAATTGAGTTGTATTGGTGCTTCACCCGAAGCTGTTAAATGGTTCCAAGACTATTTAACAGGCAGATCCCAATACGTGCGCATTGGATCCACCAAGTCATCAGCTCGCCCGATAACCCATGGCGTTCCACAAGGTGCAATACTATCACCACTTCTGTTTTGCATCTATATTAATGATCTGCCAGGGAGCATACAATCGTGTAACCTTGATTCATACGTAGACGACTCAAAGCTTTACAAATCATTCTGCATCTACGACTTGGAACAGACAACTATCAATTTAGAGGCAGATCTACAAATAGCAGCCAAGTGGTGTTTGGAGCACCAATTACTGATCAATCCAGGAAAAACTAAATTCCTTGTAGTCGGTTCAAGACCCATGCTGCAGAACGTACCTACAGAAATATCGCTAACATTTTTAGGAAAGACTATAAGACCTGTTTTATTAGCTAAAGATTTGGGAATCAATTTGGATTCGTACCTATCCTACGACGACCACATATCTAAACTCGTTTCGTCGTGTATGAGAAAACTATGTCAAATAAATCGCGTGAAGGATAGTTTCGATAATGAAACATTAAAATTGGTCATTGAGACACTTGTAATTAACAAGCTTCTGTACTGCTCTACGGTGTGGTCCAACACGTCATCTAACAATATCAATAAACTTCAATCAGTGCAGAACTTCGCGTGCAGAGTTATATCAGGGGTAGGAAAGTTCGATCACATAACTCCGGCGTTGCGCGAACTAAATTGGTTGCCAGTGGAAAGTTATTATTGGAAAGGGATACTGTAATGGCTTACAAGTGTTTTAATGGACTTGCACCTGACTACCTAGTAGATAAATTTATAAAGCGTTCCGACATACATGATCGATCGACAAGAAATCATGACCTCTTGGACATCCCTCTGTATAAATCTGCTGCAGGTCAAAGAACATTTAATTACCGGGGTGTTAAAATATGGAATGACTTGGATGATAAACTAAAAAATATTACATCAATAACAATTTTTAAGAAAAAACTTAGAGAGATTTTACTGAAAGAATCCTATTAAATACATTTAATATTTCATACTCTTTGTACATATTTTAAGTAATTTTAAATAAGTATATGTAACATAGGTAGTTTTAGAAGTAACTTATAGAAATTTTAATATGTAATGTAGTGTTGAAAAGCCCTTAGGGGAACACGCAATAAAGTATCTATCTATCTATTGCAGTCGTCAAAGAAATCGCCATATCAGCGGAATGACGAAATAAACAAAAATTTCCGAACACAATTTTTTAGAACAACTATTTTACTGTATAAAAGTGATATTTTCATAAATATATCTTAAAACCAGCAGGAACATAACTCAAAAGCGTAAAGGTACCGCGACTTAATATTTTCCTGAATAATTCTTACATTATTTTATTGTTTGTCAATTTTACAACTTTATCATATTTTGCATGCACTGGCTAACATTTCGTGAAAATTTGATGAAAATCGGACTGATTTTGAGCGCGCAGTAGCGATTTTCCACAAAACGTCAAAAAGGGTGTCCTGTAACCTTAAAAGGGTCCACATTAATTGTTTTTTAACTGTTGTGTTGTCAGTGTTCGCCGGTAGTATAATATTGTATTTTAGGTATTGTATGCATATAATTGGTGTAATTTTATCTCGCAAAGTTGAATGAATAAATAAAAGTAAATATTCCTGGTCGTGTGCGGATCTTCTTTCAATTCGAAGAAAAAATATCTCAATTTGATACAATGCTTTTTTCGTAACAAAAAAAGAGCAGGAATTTACTGAAACAGCAGCTATATCAAAAAAGCCCTTTTTTATTATAGGTAATGCGACTCCAAAAAAACAATACGACCGCCAATAATGAAATAATTGTGAACAGTTGCACGACAACACAAGCCTATGACCAAGTGTAAGATAACATATGTAAGCTGAACGCCGCTTTGATGTTTTTATCTTTATTTTGTTCTCAATGTGTTCTGACTATAACTCAAGATAAGCGCAATTAACACTAGTATATTAGGGAGCTTGAGATATGCTTAATCTAGTACGCGGACGTGACGAGAAACAATTACTTATGTTTTGCAGTTTCTAATTTGCTGCCAGTTTGAATTTGTTTTCCCATGTATATTTCAAGAAGAATGTGTTGTCATGTCAGCGTACTGGATTTACGATATCTTAAGTTCTCTATTAAACGAAAATGTATATCAATAAAAGTTAGGTTTCTACAACTTGGAGGAGAGATTCAATACATTTCAAAACCTTAAGCCTGGCGCACACGATGCGATTTTAGTCGGCCGATAAAAATCGTTTGACATACCGATATACATCGGTATACTCCGCACACGATTACGAAAAAAATATGCTCCCTGAACTGCAGCCGCCATGTTGCCAAATAGATACAAGCACGTGATCACAGCATGAAATCTGATTGGTTATACTTAAAATTCCACCGATAAAAATCGTATAATATCAAAACGTTTTGATGTTGTCCGATTAAAATCGAGCAACAAAAATCGGTTAAAAATGACACGGCCGCACTCACAACGATTTTGTTAGTTTTAGTCAAACGATTTTTATCGGCCGACTAAAATCGCATCGTGTGCGCCAGGCTTTATTGATTGATTTTCTTTATCGTTCTTGGCAGTAATTTAAACTACCTTTCACTGGAGAGAAAATCATTATCCTGTTTTGCCATCTTGCATGGATATGCATATCCATCGTCGGATATGCGGGACGTCACAACCGAATTAAAATTATTTTTCCTGCATGGGAAATTCTCAGAACATTTTAATGCCAAATCCTACTATTTTACTCCTGTCTATTTTACATTATAACACATGAAGATTGACATTATTCATGATATTTAAAACGTCTAGACTGATTGTGACATCATCTAATTAGATCTAACCATAAAACAACAATGCAGATGGCAAGATGTTTGGGTTCCAAATATCTTAAACCTTATCTTACACACATATAGGGGTGAAAACCTTATTTTACACATGGGGGCAATTAGAATATTCATGTTATCTTACACTTATATACTGTAGGGGTGGACACCTTATGTTACACTGATATAGGGGGGAAAACCTTATGTTACAAACATTGAGAATTTGTAAGTAGGATCTGTAAATCATCTTAACATTCTTCCAAATTAGGCAAACATAATTTTTATTTCTATAATGTACGTAACGTTTCCATATTCTTAACCTTGCATCGTAGGAAATCAATACAAATATTACAGCATCTGGTAAGTGTATAAATGATATTGACTCTACAGTAAATTCGGATTTAGAAAACCGTCGGAAATGGCTTATGGCAAACAAACTGAGATTAAGCGTATGGAAATGGCTTATTGGAAATGACTTATATGACAAAAACTAAATTTACACTAATTCGCACCAAAAAAGTTTGTGATCTAATATTAGTCAATAATTAATATTCTAGACAAGCCAATAAAGCAAGTTTTTCAACGCAAAACGCTAGGGATTACGGTATTGGCAAGAATCAATGAAAGTAGACAGTATTTAGTAGAGTATTTACCGACAGTATAGATGTAAGAAAATATCGTCGGGAATATATGTTATCAAACAAATCAAAGAATATGTTGAAAGAAAAAAATACTCATATCGGGGTGCCCTAATTCAACCATATTTTAGTTACTGTTGTGAGGTTTGGAATGAATCTGCATGCATGGCGAAAGCCAATCCCTTCGTCTGCAAAAGCTTCACAACAGAGCTGTTCGCGTGATCTCTCCCATCCCCGAGCATGCAACCCTCACGCAACTCTTGCTCTCGTTTGACCGGGGCATCAGAGTGGAGAAAACTCTCGTGCAAACTCTCGCTTCTCAGTTCTCAACTCTCATTCTCGTTTGCCCAGGGCTTAATGATGTTGATCAGCAAAATGCATGCTGAATTTATTAGGATGAGAAAAACTCAAAACACAAAGAATGAAAACCAAAGAGAAAATGATGTTCAAATATTTCATAATATGCAGCCAAATTGTCTTATTAAAGAAATATTCACTTTCAAACAGGAAATATTAAACCACAATCTTCGTGACAGTTCAAACACCATATTTACCAAAGCGGCGTTCGAATAGTTTGAAAAAGAGTTTTATGTATATGATGCCTCCATATGGAACTCTTTATAAGAAAACAAAAGAGAAAGCAAAATGCTATCAAGTTTTGAAAGTACCTATATAAAACTTTATAGTTTAATGTTAATTCTGTACTATTTTTAAACTTGTAATCTTAATTTGTTACTTATGTTTGCGATGTTACTCTGAGTGCATATCCACACCGGCCGAGCTTGAACAATATGCCCGGCCACGGTGGGATTCGAACCTACGACCTTTGGAATACTAGCCCAAAGCTCTTCCAACTGAGCTACGCGGTCAGGACGGTTCGAGTAAGTGATATTTCGGAACAGTATCTAGTTCCTTCAATACCAATGTGTTCTAGTAATATGATTTTTTTTTTCTGTGTTGGTAATCATATTACTAGAACACATTGGTATTGAAGGAACTAGATACTGTTCCGAAATATCACTTACTCGAACCGTCCTGACCGCGTAGCTCAGTTGGAAGAGCTTTGGGCTAGTATTCCAAAGGTCGTAGGTTCGAATCCCACCGTGGCCGGGCATATTGTTCAAGCTCGCCCGGTGTGGATATGCACTCAGAGTAACATCGCAAACATATTATTCACCTGAGTACACAACACCAACACCAACACCAACACAGAAAAAAAAATTAATTTGTTACTGTTTTAGGCTTTGCGGCTTTAACATTGCCAGCTTTAGCTGATAATGTTAGCGTGATTAAATAAAGTTTATCATCATCATCATACGAGCGAAAATAATCCCATGCCTTATAAATAGTCAATCCGCGATAAGCCGCGGTTTCATTTAGGAAACGAGTACATAATTGGCCACCGATAGGATACTTGAAATGAATGAATATGCCGCCGAAGCTGCTACACGTTCGACGTGACTGCTTTATTGATTAGGAAACAGTAGCCGAACTCCAGGATTGCAATAAAATCAAGTTAAATGTTTCCATCCTATATGTTTTCTGTTAAGAAAGGCAATTTTATACATATATAAGTCGTATGCAAATTGGTATACATGCAAGCTGTGGCCATTTTATCGCTAATTTCTGGTTATGATATCCAAACACCTGTATGTCATTACGAGTGCGAATATTATAAATTTATTGCGTGCCAGATCGTGGGCTAGGTCGTATATCATTTTGATACTCATCTTAGAGTTTCGAATTTTCGACTTCGTACTGAAAACTGGTTAAATGAAAAGTGTGTATATTGCATGACCCTTGCATGGAATGGATATTCGAGAAGAACTAAGGAACTGACAAGTAAGTCAATTAAATTTCAAATATACAATGATTACTAACTTCCTATTAACCGAGCGCATGAACTAGATACTGTTCCGATATTTCGGAACAGTATCTAGTTCCTTCAATACCAATGTGTTCTAGTAATATGATTTTTTTTTTCTGTGTTGGTAATCATGAGAAAGTAAGAGACTCAAGTCAACCTTCCTTAAGAAAAAGATGGATGAGTTAAAACTAAACCCCAATGCTAAAAAATGGTGGCAATGTATAAAACAGCTTGCGGGTTTCGCCAAGAACAAAACATTCTCTAATTTCGTTGTAAACAACCAGGTTTTTGCTGGTAAAGAGTTAGCAGATAAAATCAATGATGTTTTTGTCTCATCTACCCAAGATATTCCCCCCTTGAATAAGTCTCCAGTTGATGACCTAATTGAAAATGGCAGTACAAGTATCCTTCCACAGTTTATTATCGAAGAAAAAGATGTATACTGTAAATTGTCCGCCATCCCCGTTTCCAAATCACCTGGTCCTGACGGAATACCTAATTGGGTGCTTAAATCTTATGCATACGTTCTTTCTTCCCCTGTGGCATCGATTTTCAACGCTTCGATTCAAGAAGCAGTTGTACCCTCAATGTGGAAAAAAGCAAACGTTATCCCTGTTCCAAAAAAATCAGTCCCTAAAGACATTTCTAAAGATTTGCGCCCTATCTCACTTACCCCCACTTTATCCAAAATTTGCGAACGGTTTGTTACAGACTGGTTACTTAAGTCAATTGGTGCAAAGATTGATACGCGGCAGTTTGGCTCCGTTAAAAATTCCTCGGCTACCCATGCCCTACTGAGCCTGATCCATCACCTCCTGAGTGCTACAGATGCTTCAAGCAATGCGGTGAGAGTTTTCTTGCTTGATTTTGAAAAAGCTTTTGATCGAATAGATCACAACATACTGGTGAATAAGCTACAACAAATGAGTGTCTCCCAAACCATTATAAATTGGATTAGAAGTTTTCTCTCTGATCGTAAACAACGAGTCAAGTTGGCTAACTGTCATTCGGACTGGCAAACGTTAAACGGTGGAGTGCCGCAAGGGTCGGTGTTAGGGCCGGCTTTGTTCCTTGTTATGATAAATGATCTTCTTATTGATTGGAGCGATAGATGGAAGTATGTTGATGACAGTACGTTTGCTGAACGAGTTACATCAACTGAGAGTAGTGAACTACAAGATCTAGTGAATGTTATCTATAATTGGTGTGAAGTTAATAATATGAAGCTCAACATCGGCAAATGTAAGGAAATGGTAATTGACTTTGCAAGAGAAAAACATGAGTTTTTACCGTTAACTATAAATAACGTTGGTATTGAGCGGGTAAAATCTGCCCGAATTCTTGGTCTCTCAATCCAAGATGATTTGAAATGGAACGAGCATGTGAACCATATTGTTAAAAAAGCGGGAAAACGCCTTTATATGCTAAGGTTGTTAAAACGATCAAATGCCGACAATAGCATTCTAATTTTGGTATACTGCACCATTATCAGACCAGTACTCGAATATGCCTGCCAAGTTTGGCACTTCAATATTACAGAATACCTAAGTGAAGATATCGAAAAACTCCAGAAGCGGGCTCTGCGTATTGTCTTGCCATTCGCTACTTATAGAGAAGCTTGCAGTATTACTGGTATACCCTTACTGAAAGATCGGCGGCGATTATTATGCGAACGTTTTTTTGTTAAAAATGCACATGGAGACAAATTGGGTGACCTCTTACCGCCTAAATTTGAACATAACTATAATACACGTTATGGAAGCGATTATAATAACTATAGTTGTAAAACGGACAGATTTATGAAATCGTTTTTTCCACAGATGGTTTCACATATGAATAGACCATAATTTTAATATTTTTAATATTTTTAAATTTGAACTCTATAACTTTTTCAACTGAAGTTATGAATAATTTTATGCATCTAGATATTCTATTGTAGTATAATGAGACTTTTTACTGATGTAATTTAACCTAATAGGTTACAAATCGGTATTTTATTAAATTATCAAATCACATTGGTATTGAAGGAACTAGATACTGTTCCGAAATATCACTTACTCGAACCGTCCTGACCGCGTAGCTCAGTTGGAAGAGCTTTGGGCTAGTATTCCAAAGGTCGTAGGTTCGAATCCCACCGTGGCCGGGCATATTGTTCAAGCTCGCCCGGTGTGGATATGCACTCAGAGTAACATCGCAAACATATTATTCACCTGAGTACACAACACCAACACAGAAAAAAAAAATTAATTTGTTACTGTTTTAGGCTTTGCGGCTTTAACATTGCCAGCTTTAGCTGATAATGTTAGCGTAATTAAATAAAGTTTATCATCATCATCATACGAGCGAAAATAATCCCATGCCTTATAAATAGTCAATCCGCGATAAGCTGCGGTTTCATTTAGGAAACGAGTACATAATTGGCCACCGATAGGATACTTGAAATGAATGAATATGCCGCCGAAGCTGCTACACGTTCGACGTGACTGCTTTATTGATTAGGAAACAGTAGCCGAACTCCAGGATTGCAATAAAATCAAGTTAAATGTTTCCATCCTATATGTTTTCTGTTAAAAAAGGCAATTTTATACATATATAAGTCGTATGCAAATTGGTATACATGCAAGCTGTGGCCATTTTATCGCTAATTTCTGGTTATGATATCCAAACACCTGTATGTCATTACGAGTGCGAATATTATAAATTTATTGCGTGCCAGATCGTGGGCTAGGTCGTATATCATTTTGATACTCATCTTAGAGTTTCGAATTTTCGACTTCGTACTGAAAACTGGTTAAATGAAAAGTATGTATATTGCATGACCCTTGCATGGAATGGATACTCGAGAAGAACTAAGGAACTGACAAGTAAGTCAATTAAATTTCAAATATACAATGATTACTAACTTCCTATTAACCGAGCGCAAAGTGGTAAATTTTGTTTTGGTAAATTTTACCAAAGTGGTAAATTTTGTTACCCGGTGTGTTGGGCATCATAATTCACAGGAATAGTACGCAGCGGCGTTTAAACTGGCTATGAAATATTGTGAATACTTCGTCGAGTTCTCTACCGCGATGTGACCTGTAGTTTAATGTGGCACGCGTCTTTACTGAAGGGCTTTACTTGACTTTATATAATTAATCGACGTGTAGAGTATAACTTAGGTAAGCCAACATTTCTTTGATAATGCAAGCTACATTTTTATATCTTTAATGTGTGAATATTTTTAATTTTGTAAAGAATTAAGCGCAATATGTTGTTGGAGAAAGTATCGAGTGCTTCATAATAAAGCTCAGATCTTGTATATACAGATAATTATTCGTATTTCATTCAAAATCTACCCTTTATCACCAGTTTTTTTACTCTTTTATGTTAAAGTATACAAAATCCTTGACTTGATAACGTGAGGATCTACTCGATAAAAATTTGGCAAAGGGGCGATCTTTGCAGAGCAACTTGATCGCTCAGTGAAATCTGTAGTTCAGAGACCCTATTTTTATTGCAGTATTTCGTGACAATTTGTTGGCCGATTTCTAGTTTATCATTGTAGAACGGGTTCCCATGCAGTGAATTAAATTAATTGTCTATCTTCTACAGAGTAGTAATGAGCGCGACTCCTTTTTGTTGATGGATGTTGAATTCATTTTAGACTTTTGTTCATAAACAACAAGTATACTACCGAGTACTGAATCACTGTTTGCAAAGAAGTTAGCATATATCACCACAAAAATTCAAGCTTATTTTTAAAGTCAAATAGTCTCTCCATGGATAAAAGTAGTTTTTATGGAGTCAAAAATAGGGCAAGTACGAATTTAAAGAAGGTCAATTTGCACTTGTATATCTCACTTCGAAAAAGATATACATATAAAACAGGTATACTTGCACTGTGAAATTAAACTGCTGCAACAAAGTTTTTATTTCTACTTTCACGTTCTTATTCCAAAGCAAACACTTCTCTAAGTTGGAAATGCCTAAAATTGTGAGCGTAGAAACACTAAAGAAACACGAGTAGTTTTGGCAAGTTTGTGTTTGTTTTTAGAATTCAGTGACGCGATTAACCCGCGCTCACGTGCACTCCACGCTTACAGTATGTTTCTCGCGCATGCGTAGACGAAAGTCCACCCTGTTTCCCAAGACAACTATTTTAAATAGCGCCATAATTCATAAAACAATTTAGTTTGATTTTTTATGGCTTTATTTAAATTCAGAATAGTTGTCACAGCTATAATATTTTTAACAAACCTATGTTTTCCGCCCGGAATATCGTTTGCTATTATGGATAAGTGATATCCACAGTAATTGACTCATTGCGATAGGCTACAATATGCGGGCCTTATTAAAACAATATTGTTCACATTATTTGACAAATTCTGCGACATCGATCATACCCATATGTTCTCAATTGAGAATATTCGGTATTACCCGTGCCAGTCTATCGCCTGCGCTACCTAACGCTGACATATTCGCATATCATTATACATATAAACCAATCACAATCGTGTTACTATACAATACGTTCTTTTCGGAGCTGTGAGCTGGTTTCTCCCATATTGAAAACATTTCTAGGCTTTCTAGCAGATTATTTAGTCTATTTGCGATTCTGTGTAATAAAATGGAGGCAGGAAAGAGAACTAGAATAAGTGACAACCAGAGAGATATTTTGGAAAGCTTTTACGGCCGTGGAATGGTCGGTGTTGGTTTAAATTATCGCGAAATGATCGAAAGCGCTGTAGCAGAAACTGGCTTAACGACGACTCAAGTAAAGGTAAATAATATCATAGTGATGTTAATATTGACTGTTTGCTATTAAGCATACTAGATTTCAACTCCGTCTCGATGCAATTCTTTGTAGAAGTTGATTGGCAATCAAAAGACCTGATGATTGTAATCAAAGAGCAGATGTCGACGCGCAGAGGACATTAAAGAAAGCAAAATCTGTTTGTGGCCCATCTTACTATGAACTTTCTTCTTCTGAATTCTTTAGAGGAGGTAAGAATGTTATACTTGACTATCAGCTATTTTATCTAAAGGCATGAGTGGTGCACAAATACGAAATGAACTTTATATACCTTGCGTTGACATACAAATATCATATACTGTAGTAATAGTATCAGGCCTTGCTTGGATGAAAACCAAGATGCATGCTTGATAAATAGTGCTACTGTGCATTCAAGGCACTTTTTTCTATGCACCTACTTAGGCAAGGGGGAACTGGTGTTGAGGGGGGACTGATGAGAAATTGGGGGGGGGGGGTCCATAAAAATTTAAGGGTGCAAAAAGGAGATATTTCAAAATTACAATAATAAATAATCAGGAATAATCAATTAAGCCAATGGTAAATATTTATATGCAACATTTATAGTTTTTTGATAATTTTATTATGCTACAATCAGTGACAAAACACTTTGGACAAAATACCAAAAGAGCGTACATTTACAACATAATCGACCCCCCGTACCCACCGTTCAGTGTTGTGTGTGGAAATACCTGCGCAAAATGTTCCTTGCCAGCCACCCAACATTGTTTAGGGTGGGGGAGGGAGGGATAGCGGCTTTATGCTGAACAGTATTTGGAAATGCGGAGATATGTATATATTATATCACTGCCCAAAAACCTTTTGTCAGTGATTGTAGGAAGCTGGCAGAATATTGTATCATAAATATTAAGTATTTATTACATGTTCAGCCTTGATTAAAAAGTTTAAATTTACCAAGAACCTGAACAAGTGTTTACCCATTATTTGGCTGGTCGGCTCATAATAAAGTAATTTCAGTTAAGCGTTATATAGGTATAAATTCATACACGTATAAATGGCTTAAAATGTAGGGTTTGGGGAAACCATCCCTTATACCGTGGTGCGACTTTTTGCAGGTCTTAGAAGGTGACACGGTTCATTTTCCAGCCCCGAAAAATCAGATGAACCAATATTATTATACTGTTCTCGAGCGAGGCACGCCATTCCTTGCAACGTGTGACGCCCCACCTGATTTAATTAACAATGGATCTATTGATCACGTGAACACAGAAATGATGAATGTAAGATGGCGAATGTTTCCGCTCCATAGACATATTCAGTGTGATGAACAAAGAAACATTGCGGCTTGCGCTCGGTGCTTTGCTGAGTTAGTATTATACGTTGAACAGTGATCTATAATGATGTGTTTTAATTTAACGTATATTAAGGTGTTAAAAAATATGTATTCTGGTGATCACTAACTAATTAGCTTATGACACGACAACGAATCCCACACGAATCCCAGTCACATTTCATGTAGAAAAGGCGATTAAGTCCAACAATTCTTGCGTTTTTTCTCTCTTAGCTTATTGTACTTATGTCAAAGGAATTGATTATGTGGATAACTTCGAGCGAAATCAATTTGATTCAATAAAATTCCGATTTTCGTCCACGATTCCCACTATTTATACATTGAAATATGACATCATAATTATACTAAATGGAAAAGTGGGAATCGTCCATTTTTAACCCATTTTCTCTGTATTTTATAACGAAACGCGTGCATGTTTGAAGCCAAAGTATTAATTTATTCTTTACGCACGCAACTGTGCATTTAAATTCCCAACAACGATCATTTTTATATACATCTCAGAAAATATGGAAATTATTACGCGAACAAGTGTGGGATTCGTTGATACGGAAATACGATGTACAACCCGTTGTCATAGTAACTTTCCCAGTATTTTTTTTCTGAAGCCGTCAGCCTGCAATACCGCGTGCATTCGTATAGGCATCCTTGTGATAATATTATTTATATAATCTACATAAATATTATATCAAGTTTTTATAACTCTAGTCTTAAATTGTCTCCATAGACACGCCCTCTAGGGGCTATAAAGCGTCACTAAGAGGCTGTGTCTTATAAACAGAAGAAACCCGTCTGAATAGAAGGCAATATTTCGCCAGAAGAATCCGGGCTTTGTGGAAATAATCTTCCTGCATTGTTGCGCAAACGCCTTTCTTTTTGTCCGATCACGGCTTGTTAAAACCCCCTTTTTACTCGCACGTAAATAATCAAATCCAGCTGCTTTCACCTCACGATAAAATGTCCTATAGGAAATGTGACCTGACAGCAGCTTGCTGCGCGCAACCAAGCGCTCAACAGTAAAATTTGGGTCTTTATCACGAAGAGTTTTTATTATTCTTATCAATTTTCTCCGAACTCTATCTGACAGCGTCTTTGGTCTACCAATTTTCTTGCATGTTTTCAAATCTTGCTTGCGTTGAACTTTTCCTCTCAGATAAGAGAGACTGACGATTTAGATATTTTTGCTTTTTTAGCAATCGCTCAGCAGGAATATCGTTCCTCTTTGCCTAGAAATAGAACATATGCTCGCGTTGTATCTGAAACAGCTGTTTTATAAGCCATTGTTACTTGCTTTCTATATAACTACCTCTTATTTATAGCATGCATACTGTGCGCTTTATAATACTACAGCTTTGAGATTAATCCGGATGTTGACGATGACGTTATATTCTCCACAAAAGTTACGTAATAAGCACTTAAAGATAATTGCATTAGCTTCCGAACGTGTTTACTAGCCCTAAATTCCAGATTGCTCTACTAGTTTCGCTTGCAGTTCCAAACTACGAAGTTCCCAAAGTTTGAGTAGTTCTGGAAACGTGCATAAACGCATTATGATTAAACTAGAATAATGACATACAATGTATGCGTAAATTAACCATGTATACGCTCACCAAAACACGGCATCTATAATATTTGTAAACACCATTGGTAATACTATAAAATACAAGTAATTCTAGCTTCAATAACTGATATTTTAATTTGGCTTAGAATAACGTTTCTGACAATCAGTGACAAAACACTTTGGACAAAATAGCAAAAGAGCGTACATTTACAACATAATCGACCCCCGCACCCCCTGTTCAATGTTGTGTGTGGAAATACCTGCACAAAATGTTCCTTGCCAGCCACCCAACATTGTTTAGGGTGGGAGAGGGAGGGATAGTGGTTTTATGCTGAACAGTATTTGGAAATGCAGAGATATGTATATATTATACCACTGTCCAAAAACCTTTTGTCACTGATTGTACCTTCTTTCACAACAGGAGTTAGACCGAGTTAAGTGCTTCTTCATGTCTTGAACTCGGTCACTTTTAGCATGTTTTCTGGCAATTGCAATCAGTTCAATAGTTGATATAATAATAACACTTTACTTGACAAGGATTTACAGATAAAGCTACAGTACAGCTTGTTTCCAATCTGGTCCTCTTAAGTTCTAGAAATGTATTACATCACGTGATTACAATACTCGTGCAGTTAACATTCTTTAGAAACGTAGGATATACGGTCACAGATGCGTCACAAACACACAACATACACAGATACATCACAATCACACAACATTAACAATCTATAACTATCAACAGTATTAAAGTTTTATATTACTATAATCTTTTTGTGTTCAATTCAATCATCTTAGCCAGTTTGTTCTTAAAGTGTTCTTTACAGAACGATCTAAACCCGTGTGTTGTGGTAAGTTTTTTTCCCACGTCTGGAAATTTGTTCCACAAGGAAGGAGCCAGAAACGAAAACCTGCGTTTCCCTGCGTTGGTCCTGGCTTTGGGGAGAAACAGGTTATTGTTTTCTACTGCCCTTGTAGAGTGGTGGTGTGTCGGCTTTTCTACAAGCGTGCTGAGGCAAGGTGGGCTAATTTTGTGGAAACAGTTGAAGGTTTGTAGAAGGATGTGATGGCGGATGGTATCGACTATAGGGATGATTTGAAGGTGTTGGAACAAAGTTAAGGATGGAGTAGTGTAGTCCACATTCACGAGAATTCTTGCAGCTCTTTTTTGGGTGGAAGTTAATTGACTAAGTGCATCCCCAGAACAGTTACCCCACACACTGCAGCAACATTCTAGAGTTGGCTTGGCGAACTAGTGGTCTTTCAGCGCCATCATTCGTAAAGAGTTCAACTCTCTGTCCGTAACAAATCTTAGAAAATGATAAAATGTACATACTGTATACATACTAAGTGAACATAAGAACGGTGTCTACATTATTGTGTTTGCAGTAAACTGGAAGATTTTATAAGCCCAAGTGATATTGCCTATTAATGGATTACTGCATTATGATACCTAAATCCGTAAAAGCTATATAGTACACTGTTACTTTTATTCTTGGTAAAACACTACAGTACAAGTGTGTTGAATACATACCAACATTCAGCATGTCCAATTTCCTCATTTCATCAACCAACTGCCTACAGGAATAGCATATACGATTTGATGTTTCTCTGCTCTTCAAAAATAATGAATGAAAACACCTGGCTTGCTGCCTCCCTTTGCTTTCCAAATACTCCTTTGCAGTATGGTAGCAAACCTTTGCACATTTCTGTGAAAAATTTGGCAATGTTCCCATCCAACTGTTCATTATTTTGCAGTCTTAAAACAATTGGTAATATGTCTGATTGGAATGAGAGATTTCGCTTTGACAGTGTTTCATATTCAACAACATCCCATGCCAATAAAAATGTGTTTTTCTTAACATTACTAGCACCAAGTTTCTTCTCATAAGTTTTCTTGGACTCTTCATATCCAGCTTTCAATAAAACCCAGTCTTCTTTCAAGATGGACTGCATTTTCGTAAGATCTATTTAAAAAGGTGTTTGTATGTTACATTTGCAGTGCATGACGTATAGCATCATTATTAGTTGTTTTTATGTTACGTTAAAGTTGGTGGACAGAAAGACCAGCAACATTTACTCGGGCCTGCCATGGTAGTGAAACAACATGAATTCAAATGAAAGCAAATGTACTGTACCTGCTGCAATTAAGGTGTATTAATACCCTATTCCCCCACATGTAGGAGCCCCCCATATATAGATGCATTCACTTCTTGATGGTGATTTTGACTTACCAGTAAAAATATAAAAATTGTAAATAATTATTCAATTATATATATATATGCACATCCACGGGGAGGGGGGACTCTGATAGGGGTTTGGGAAAAAAGGGAGTATTTATCAATTAATTAAATAAGTACCTTTGTTGGATCTCTCTTAACTCACTTAGATTTACATGCAGATGTCCTATCCAACCCATGCATACAAGTCAAATCATTCATGCTTAATGACTGGCCCATATCCTCTATTGTTTCATTGGTCAAACCTGACCAAAGGGACGACACTTGGGTACTTTCGCAGTGTGTTTCATTGATGTCGTTGTTATTTGGAATCACTTCTACAAAATATTAAAAGATCCCAAATTGAGAAGCAGTACCAAGTACATAACTATGACCAGTTATCATTGCAGAATTGTCGTACCTCCAATATACTGAAAGTACAACTCATCCATTAAAATTCAAAGTCTCTGTTATATATAGTCTTAGTTAACTATAAATGGGATCTAAGCAATTTGTATCATTAACATATACAGTATGCACATACATTTTAGTTTAAATGAAAATTTAGATGTTAGTGGTTAATTTAATTAACAAGTTTATTTACTCCTGGCTTTACACTGCTATGCCATTTTAGAAAAATGCTAAATGAACCACTAATTTAAATCATATTGAAATGTACATACATTATATAAGAATGTACAACCAAGGTTGCCAATAAACTTTAGAGGTTCTTATGTCATACCATTACCAAACAATGAATTGCAATGCAATATGGGAAAACACATTTGGGATAAAATCTATCGTTTATATGGATTGAAAACTGTGTGACATAAGCATCTCTAAGGTCTATTGGAAATAATAATCCACAATACTGTTTATCACAGAACTGTTATCGCTGAGTACATATGTGTGCACTAACCTGTTTCATCGGTAATTGTAACTGGAAGTTCATCATCTGCAACAATGCAATTCTGTAAATCCACACCAGCAATATCACCAAAGGTTTCTGCAATTGCTTGGTGAATTATGTTATTTTCCAACTGCTTGGGAACACTTACATCTTCGATGGATGTCTCCTTATGCATGTTTTGTGTGAAATTAATTTCTTTAGTGTCATTGGTAACTACATCCACTTTTGGCAACCCTTTATCACATTCAGACCACATTGGACCTCTTTGAAGAGCAGCCCACTTGTGCCCAAAATGTGCTAACAAGCTAATTTTCCATCCAACAAAGTGTGGTTCAGGGTGCAAGTTGGTCACATCTTCTGAACCAAAGAATATAATATTATGGTTTAATAAGCAATAAGGCATCCTGTCCAAGGGTAACCTACTCTGTCCTTTACCAGGCTCCAAACTTTTTCCAAGGTAATATATTAGATTTGGCTTGTCATTATCTCTTACATGTTTTTCATAGCATTTGCAATTATCCCAATGGTATCATGTGGCAAGAAAACTGAGCTCATATTGCTGGACATACCTCCAATATACTGAAATAAAAGCCTTGAGAGTAATTGCTCTTCTTGCATTGATGACAACTGACCAACTAAAGCAATTACTGACTTTATTGCATGACCATTGGTGTCTGAAACAACTACCTTTTCAGTGGTGGGACTGTGCTCAAATATTGGAGAAAGGTTGACTGATGATGGACATGCACAGACTTGTCCTGATTTTGGTGTTGACTTACTACACACAACCAATGGAAAATGATCATCAAAATATTTTATATTGAAGTGTTTTTCAGCTTCGTCCACAGTTGTAAAATTCTTGCAGAAAAAATTAAATATTTTGTGATGACAAGCATTTCCTATGAAAATTAATAGCTATAATTTAGTTTTTTGGCATTATCTAATTTTCTAATATATTTCATATATTTCAATACACATACTCACAGACGCATCATCTGATTCATTTTGAGCAGATGGCTCTGAGAACAAAACTTTCATTTACTTGGCCTCTTTCTGACCTCCAACAACTCTTTTTACCTTTTGAGGTGGTTTTTCTGGTGTGGAACTTGTTGATTTGAGTACTGCCTCTTAGGAGGCATCATACATGCTGTAAAATCGGTAAAAATAAAATAGAGCATGTCACCTACATTTGATAACACACAGTGAAAAATTCCTTTGCTTCAAATTAATATAGCGGCTAAACAATTATGCAACTGAGTGTTTGCTAGAAATAAATCCCGACATAATATTTTAGTTAGCTCATAAATGAATACTTCATGAGCATGTTCAAACTATGTCACACAGACGGAACAAGAGATATGTTATCATATAAGTCGATTAAAAACATACAAATACACCCACCTGATCGACAAAAAGTCTCAGGAATACATAGCCATGTATCCTTTTTCTAAAAATCCAGCAATTATTTAAAATCCGTATATTTAACACGAGAAAGGCGCACAAAACTCTGAACACTAAACAGCAACCTAAAAGTTCGTCACCGCCATGATGTTTCACAATGATAGTCTCTGATTGGTCTGTTGCGTTCAATTGCATCACATGGTTTTGTATCGCACACCACCTGACTCCACAGTAAAGTCTTGCGTGGTTTTATTTCATTTCAAACAAAGGGTGCTAAAGTCGAGATTATATGAGAACACAGAAGTGAGATCCCGTACGAAAAGTTACAGCCTGACTGAGCGAGATTCTGGCCAGTATCTGGCCATAAACCAATTAAAGCAGTGGTAATTGAGCAAGACACAACCAGACATTGGTTTTGTCTTGCTGCCTGTTACGAACGAGACATTTGTATCGCTCGTTTATGGCCGAGAATTTGGCCTGAATGAGCGTGACATCGCAAGACAAATTGTCTCGCTCAAACGAGACAATTGTCACGCTGCTTTTACAGCGAAACATGGACGATAATATAGCGAGGCAGAGCGAGACAAGCAACAGAAATTCCTTTGCGTGCCATGAAAATGTGAGATTATTATCATATCCGGCGAAAATTGAAAGAAACTGAGCACGACAAGAGCGTTACGTTAAAAATTTAATTTGTTTTGTCTCGGATGACAAGGCGCGCAATTTGAGTTGGTTTTATTTTGCTGTACACACACATCGCTTTCAAGCAGCGAACCATACACGGTCGGTCAAACAAGGGAAAAGTTGCGGATTTTCAACAATGATCATCGTTATATATTGCACTGTATTCTCGGTAATTCTTCAGCCAGGCAATGTTGAAGTCAAAGATAGTGTCCCTCGCAAAGTTTCTGTGCGACTTTGAGATTCAAGGCGTTGGCAATATATGCATTGGATCGAGACAGTCTTCAAGTTTCTTCTAAATGTAAGTAATTAATCTCAACGTTTACCTGTTCTGTACAGTTTTGCGCGTGATACCGCAATACATAATTTACTTTAAATGTAATTATTAAGGCCCACACAGACCGAACGCGATTCGACAACGCAACGCAACTTTTCAGATTTTAAAAACAAATAAAACCGTCAACGGATAAAAATTTTACAAGATATGCAGACCAAATAGCTAAAATTGCTCAAGTGGTTAAGAATATTTGAAAAGCATAGAAAAATAGTAAAGGTTTAATAAATGTCATTGAAAATTCGCGTCGCGTTGCCCAATCGCGTCCGGTCTGTTTGGGCCTTTACGCTTTTAAAACCATGCATTGCGAACAATCTTTTTACCAGTATAGGTATAAAAACTTTAGATGTTTATACGTTTTAACAGAAATTTGCTGGAATAGAAAGGCCTACAAAATATTCAAGGCCGAAATTAAAATCCTATTTTCATATTTGTCATATATAATGCAATGGCGAAATTAAGTCTGAAACCGCGGCCCGAATAGTGACTTAGGCCTAGCTTTCAACCCTGTTGTCTTTAATATTTTAGCTGCCGCTTGCGGACAAATTGACCGTTTACATGAGTCGCTCGCGACGTCCATCTCAAAGCCGCAGCTTATTTTCGCCCATATAAATGCCCCTAGTGTCAATGTAGATTAGTTAAAACAAGTCGATAACGCTTTTAGTACTGATAAGCAAAAGCTCGTTGCAATAGCGTGATGTTCTTTCAATCTTATTCAATCAATTTTTTTTTATCTTGAAAGTTGAAATATAAAAGTAATTTACAGTAATCGCTGTTGACGGAAAAGCAAAATATGCATAAAAATACTTGAACAAAAGCTTAAACTTTACAAATGCATTTTATCCAAAAGTTTGAAGTGTAAACTATTGTCAATAATTTTTAATTTACTAAATTTTTAAAAACTTGCTTTATATTTTTGACCTGATTTAATAGCATTGCGTGCTATCTTGGTATGTGTGTATTGATATGTGTTATTTTACTTGTCTGCGTAAATGCGATTGCGTTTCTTAATTTCCGGCCTAAATGTGGAGCCATAATATAGCCAAAATCAGGCCAGACAAAATTATGGCCTGAAAAATGTATGGCCCAGTACCGGTGAAATTTGGTTGAAAATGTCACGTTTGAGACACGCCGTGTATCGCTGGTGTATCGTCACGCTCATTATCGCTCATGTCTCGCTCAAAAATGTCACGTTTGAGACACGCCATGTATCGCTGGTGTATCGTCACGCTCATTATCGCTCATGTCTCGCTCAATTTTATGGCCCGAATATCGCTCATGTCACGCCATGATTTTCGGTATGGGATATAACAATCTCGAACTCATTAATAATTCATGAGCAAATTAGCGAATGAACTCACCCTAATTCGTCACATGATTGAGGTTGGATACCGCAAGGAAACACATATACCATCACTGTTGTTAGATGAAAAACGGTTTTCATCTAATAACTGAGATCCTAATTATAAATTCAAGTCAAAACACAACAATATACTATAATAATTACTGACGGTCATAATAACCTATTGTTTTCTCTCTGCATTATATCAGCGAAAGTCGAGAAGCTAAAATAGCACCCAGCATTATTAAAAATAATGCAGCGTGCACACAGCATGCATTATTAAAAATAATGCAGCGTGCACACAGCATTATTAAAAATAAAGCAGCGTGTATCAGTGCACACAGACATTATTCGCAATCCTTCGTCATCCTGACAAGTACACGCGATAACGTGAACATCTCAAGATGAGAAGTTGACAGTGCTAAAGGCCCCTCATACAATATCATCGGGCACCTGAAGCACTGCCAAAACGGTCACTGTGAGTCCTTTCAGCTCAACTTTATAGAGAAATAGTTTTGTTTGCGCTTGTGGGATTTTATACTAGATATACGCATGTGCAGAACACACCATAACTTCTATTCCCGTGTTTATCCAGTTTAATAATGTTTTCGTTCGAGATGTTATGTAAACAACTTGTTTCTCGTGTTTCATACAGTTTTCTCGTGTTTGGATCCCCTGATGAAACACTCAAACTCGTTGTTTACATATAACATCCCACCCTCCTGCCCTTTGGGTTTACATGTGTCTGTCTCATTTTTGGTGTGGCTATGTTGTATCACATATATGACTATTTACCTTAGTTTATTGTTATAGAATATTTTAAATATTTTAATGTTGTGTTGTTAATTAAACTAATTGTTATTGCTCGCTGAGCCAACTGCTACAAATACCGCTAGAGCCAACAAATTTTTTGTTGGTCGATTGCAGTATCAGATTAATATGAAACTAGTTTTTCATATCTCTGAGGATGGTTCTGAAATATTCTAAACATATCGAAACTCTTTGGTCCTTCGTTAAACAAGGCGTATTTATAAAAAAAACACATGACATTTCTTTCTTGGAACATTAAAATTTGATTTTCATGCAGGGTCATTGAATATTTGGAATAAATCTTTTAATCAAAATCGTGTCATAATTTAATTTTATATTTACGACAAAATGGTAACTGTTATCAAATTAGCTTATAACAGCTTAGTTTTTAAGTTAAAATAAATCAAACAAGGCAGTTCTTTTTTGCACCACCCGGTAGTATTGTAGCAGTATAATAATAGCATTATGGCACTGAGACTTGTTTACTATTTAATTTGCATTTTATTGGAGACTTTGCGGAGCATATATTCACCATTTTACCTCATGATTATAAATATTGAAATATTGGAAATTGGGTTAATTTAAGAATTGTATCACTCTACATGTGTTTATTTAATATTGGCCAAATTCATATGTTACAACTTTTTTTATATGATATTTTACAATACTTTTAGGGGTGTGGATAAAAGACTGACACAGACTGGCAGAAACATTCATGTACTGTTTTATATCATTAACTCGATCTTCTCCTTGGCCCTTGGCCAGTGAAACATGTTCAAAAGAACTGTGGATCAATGTTCTCAAATGGGAGTGTCAAAAAGCCTGCGGACTGGTCTATGCATAGAGTGCCATAGACACGAACCCTCATACAGTTATCTTAAATTGTATTTCATGCAATAGAAGATGCACATGCTGCAGAAATTGTTATCTTGCCAATCTCAAGCCATGTAGAACAAGGTGCTGGGTGTTTTTGTATGCAGCTTTGATGCTTTTTCAGAGTTTTTATAATGAGAAGTGACAGAAGAAATGTCGAGCATCATACTTTTCTTCTTTTTCAATAGCTTAATAGAATTTAGCAGCACTGTCATGACTGTGATTTACTGTTTTAGTCTGTTTGTTCACTCAAATCGTTTGTTAGCCAAACTAGTTAGGATACACAGATTAAAAACAAATCCCTATAAAGACATATATTTTATAAGGTTTAACACTTTCGCTGCCAGCTATTTTTACTTCAGCGCCGGTTATTTTTAGCAGATAACAAAAATTTTTGGTTATGCATCATAAAATTTGAATAACTTTGACTCTATTTAAAATGTTGACTTGAAACTTTCAGAAAATATTAACTGTTATATGAGGATTGAAATTATGCAATTTTTCTTAGAAATTTGACCACTTAATTCTAGAAAGTCTGGGCAAAATTCTGAGAAAATATGAAAATTGGAAAAATATCCGAACAAATTCAATTATCTCAGTATTAGTTTCCACAAATGTGTAAAACATGAAAAAAACATAATGTACAACAATCATAATATTAAAACAAGTTATTTTGAAACTTGGTATTTGAGCTGACGGCTATCGCTGTACATCATATTTAGGTAAATAATATGTGCAATATGTGTCAGTTTTTGGACAACTTGACTTATAGAAAATTGATTCTTTATTACATAAAATGTAGAATATTTGGAAAAAAACAACTACTTACTTAAATCCAATAGTGGAACAATGTATTGGATATAAATACATCTTCCCCATTATCACATTTTGTATTGTTTCAAAGTGTGGTAGCGTTCGAAGCATGGTGAAATACACAGTGGTACATTGCACTGCTTGCAACAAAAACTTGTTTGCCGTCGATTACCTCTTTTTCTATCAGAGCACACTTCACAGTCAGGTTTGTACTTTTTATTCTCAAACTTGTCAGGAAAGTGTTGTCCTGTCATTCGCAAGGGAAGTGGAGCAATGCTTGGCCGACCTTTTCGTTTCCTGTTAGAATGCCAGTGTTCCAACAAACCGTTAATTACATGTTGGCGAAACCTCTGTGGATCAAGAATATTTTGTTTGTCAGCCTTTCTGTAAACAATATATGCATTCACCAGGGCTGTTTCTTTTGCTCTGTGGTATAGTGTATGGTACCACTTCACACTTTTGTGTGGGTACTGGTAGGTGCCCAACATTTGATCAAAACGATCAACACCAGCCATGCTGTGATTATATCTTGCAACAGCTACAGGCTTTTCAACGGTTCTATGCCCACTGGCATGGTCTTTACTTCTTATTTCCTTGTCAACTGTTAAATTTGTGTCAATGGTACTGAGCATAGTGAGACGCTTGGTATCATGCCAAGCACAGGCAACCATATTCCCACTTCGCATAAACACAGGATCATCTCCCTTCTTTAGCTTTATATTCTGTTGGAGTAACTCTTTCGGCATTCCACGCCTGTTACCTCTGACTGTTCCACATGCACCGATCTTTTTTGATTCAAGTTTTGCATATAGTATAGGGGATGAATAAAAATTATCCATGAAAACAAAATGTCCCTTGTTTTCATAACCTTCAAGCAAACTTAACACCACATGATCGGAGAGTAGACTATCTGAATCCCTTTCAAAACAGTCTTTCCCTGTATAAATTTTTGACTTCAGGCAATAACCACTTTCAGATTCACATAAAACAAATGCTTTGATGCCCCATTTTGTGGGTTTATTTGGTAGATATTGTCGGAAAAATATGCGCCCTTTGAACTTGATCATACTCTCATCAATTGAAAGACATTTTTTTGGCTGGTATACTTTTTCATACAAAGGATTGCAAATGTCCAACAATGGCTGGATTTTAAATAATGGCTTATAGCCGTCTTGACCCTTTGAAACTTGATTAGCAACATCATTGAAATGTAAAAATGTTTGTAATAATTCAAACCTATTTCTAGACATGACATCTCCAAAGTTAGTGGTTGTAAGCCAATAGGTATTCCAATAATCACTAATGGCAGGTTTATTACAAAGCCCCATGGCAATTTGCAGAGCCACAAATGCTTTTATTTCATCAACAGATGTGTCAGTCCACGTATGAAAACGTGAAGATGGAGAAAAATCAACTGGGGTGTCAAAAAATTGATCTGCATACCTGTTAGTTTCTGCTGCTATCAGGTTGAATGCTTCTTCTGGAAAATATTGATAAAAATAATCAACAGGCTCAAACTCGGTAGTATCCACAAGAATGCCAGGTCTTTCAATGTAGTCTGGAAGCCAATCCGACTCAAAAGGATCCAAGTAAGAATAAAATTCCCATGAAAAGCTTGTGAAGTCATTGTCATTCGTGTTAGATTCAACCACATGTAGATTATCGATCGCTATATTGCGAGTTGGTTGCTCAATTTCATCAAATGACTCATCACCAGAGTTGCCGAGACTTTCATCACTTGAATTTTCCCCTTCACTGTCAAATTCGGACTCAGAATCATGAAAAACGAGAGATATTGCTTCCTCACATGTAAACGACGCCATTTTTAAATGCCCTTCGACAACACGTGCAAATAAACCACAACAATTTCACTCGCAAATACCCTAAACTACAACAAATTCGCTTCGATTTTGCTTGAATGTCTTTCTTGTTGCTCAGTGGCTTTGTAACCACGTATTATTATGAAAAACTAGCTTTGATTGGTCAATAGAGAATTAAATTTGATTGGTTAAAATTCGCTTTAATATTTGTCGACTAAAGTCGCCTGTGGCAGCCTTCCATAATGTCGACAAAAGTCGCCTATGGCAGTGAAAGAGTTAAACCAAAATCGCACATTTGGTTCTTTGTTTTCGAGTGTTCTTAATGTTGAACTTTCTTTTCCTGGGTTAGTTTTCATTATTGGCGGCAAATGTTTTTTAGTCCATTCTTGTGATACTTCGTGGAGTGGCAAGGAATGCAAGGGAACATAATTTCCATAAAGGAAAGTTTCCTCATTCACCCTGTCTCTTTTCCCTTTCTCGTGATGGGCTTCATTGAACTTGCCACCGAACCGTTTGTCAGAGACGTCCTTCATCAACTTTCCTGCTCGTTCCATGTCTGACTGTGATCGTGACATTACAAGGCATATCTCGATTATTTCGGCAAGGTCTGGTATGTCTTCATGCAGAGCATACTCAATCTTGTGGAAATAACTTAAGACAGTTGTGATGTTCCACTTCACTTGACCGGCTTCATTGACCACGAACCAGACGCCTCTGAAACGGTCTTTGTTGTCGCGAACGCGTTCTTTGAATGTCTTAAATTGGTTCAAAAGACAGAGACATTTTACCCCACCACATAGCGGACTACACAGATTTCTGGGGAATAAAAGCGTGCCTTTGTCAAGATGACTGGCAACAGAAACAAATTCATCATTGAATTGTTGACTTAGGCTCCCGGGATCATGGAAGTCGAAAGATTTCAGATCAAATATCTTGACGATATCTCGTTCTTGCTCACCCTGTGCCAAAAATGTTACACTTTCCCTCAATATCGCCGATGTCAACTGCTTCACTCTAACTTCGACTGTTTCAATGATGTCCTCTGGTGTTAACTCCTGCTGGCGGTGCTGCTGATTCCTTAGCCGTGGTTGGAAACGTACGTCATATTGCATGATGTTTACCTGCTGGTCAGGTTTATTTGCATCTGGTGTGAAATGACCTGTAGCAATACTTGGATGATGAAGTCGAAGCCTCCTGTTCAGTGGGTTTTCCAACACGGGTAGATCATTCATTCTCTTGATGTTGCAAAGAAATTTGTCGATGTTTGCTTTGTCATCCCATAATGGATATATGTCGGACTGGGCTGTTTCACTAGCGAACGCAGACTGACTGAAGACGTCGGCTAGTATCACCAGAGTTGGCAAAAACAGTGGATTCACGAGGTTCTTTAAGTGACCTTGAACATCCATGTCGCCGCCAGCAGATTGCTCTTGCCACATTAGTTCCAGGACGTAGGCGTTGGTGAGAAGTGCGTCAATTGAACCAACCAAGTAGCGAATGAATCTAGTTTCAACCAGCCTTTTCATGGTCTTTGTGACAGATTCGCTAAGAGATGCAGTATATCTAAGGTTCCTGTGCTGTTTTGGAGATTGGCATATTTTTGAAATCATAGAGTCCAATTTCGAAAGAACATCGTCAAGCCATTTAAAATCTGGTTGCTTTCAGATTTTGCCCACCATCGATTCAAGTTTGTGTGCTCTATCAGTGAAATGTAAGTGAGCACAATTAAACTTCACCTTCCACAATCGTTGCCAACCTTGAATGTCTCCAGCATAAAACGCTTTGCAATCTGTAGACGATGACGTCACGCTTTTACTGATTGTTTCCTTGGACATTTTGAGATATTTTTTAAGGAAGTCGAGCACATGGCAAAACACACCTCTGGCATCACTGGCATGGTCCGCAACTGGTGTATCACCAAGGCTTTGTGTATATTCAGGGAGAGGATCCTCGTGCTGGGAAATGACACTTTGGTTCCCATTAATACAAACTGGTTCACCATCGTTGTCCAGCATTCGAATGTTAATTACCTGACGTGTGACATGTTCAGCAGTGACTTTGTCCATGGACAAGTGACAGTGTTGAAGACAGTGTACTTGATTAAACAGTACAGTGTCGAAGACAGTGTACTTGACAGTGTACTTGATTAAAGAACGTAACTGGACATCGTAGATACAGTCAGTTGCACTGGCCATTGCCATATCGGTCAAGTGTCGGTTTCCAACTTCCACCCCTTGTAGATGATGTAAATACGACATATATGGATACCTATTGTACGCTACATGGCACTGAATTAGTCCGTAGCATCTTAACAGGAATCTTTCAGTAACCTCGTTTTCCCGTTGCTTGTTGATAAGAAATGAAGATTGTATTGCATTTCTTTTTCTTTTTTCTTCAGCGGACACACAAATCTTATGACACTCGGACTGTTTGTGGCTTGTTATTTTTTGCGCTCGATGATTGCTGTCCAGAACAACAGAGCAATCCACCCAATTTTGCATGCTGGAATAGTCTCGATGGCTGCGTATTTGAACATTATGACGCTGACATAAACTACAGGCTCCGGCAGGTGGAGTAGGTGGTTGTCGTAACTTTACTTGAAGCCAAGGATACTTCATTTGTAATTGAACGAGTGATTGTGAAGCATTGTTCACATTGCTCACAATGTTGTCAGCCTCTTCCATGTGTTGTTCCATTTCAGAAAGCTTGTTTTCCAGTACGCTTTTTGTTTGTTGCAGTACAGTTTTCATGTCTCTTTCGTTGATGTTGATTTTTCGAATTGCTGCATTCAAAGACACAACCAATTCTGTCAGACTTTGCATTTGTTTGTTTGACGATTCCGTTGTCACAGCTGGTTGTAAAAGCTCTACATCGGTCTGGTCTGTCATCGGTTCACTTCCTCCTGACACTTCTTGATCGGCATTAACATTTTGCGCCGTTGTCCATCTTGCAGTATTCGCAACTGCATTTTCGCTTTGAGCAATTGGTACTGAAGACATACTTTCTTCCCTCTGTAAATCCACTGAGACTTGAACAACGTCGCCATTCTGAACACGAAGGAGGTGATCACTTGGCAATGAATTGCTTCGAATTATTCCAAATATCTTGTTTATAACTTCAACATTTGTGATTTTGTGCCTCCTTGATTTGAGATGACTTTTCAAATTATCCAGGCGAAAATCTCGGTACGAACAATTCATAAGAGGGTATCGACTGATGTGAGATTTTTGAGTTTTTGCTCTTAACATTTTTATTTATCTTGCTCACTATCACCACTTTGTCAATTTAGGAATATATAGAAGATGTAAGGAATTGGCTTCTTTTATAAACCTAAAGCATGATGTCATTTTTTAAAGCCAATGACATAATTGCAGATTGCTTCAGATTACAATGCCCATAGTGACAAACCTTGCTTACTCATTGTCATTTACGTAACACTAAGACTAGGCGTGGCCTAAACGAGGCGTAAACCTACGTCGCAAGATAGACAATAGAAGTTATAGAACATACCTCACTATTTTCTATTTTGGCGCAAAATTTAGTTTTTTTAAACTTCTTTAATACAGCTATTCCGGCAGATTTAATTTATTTTATTTTTTATTATATGAATGCGCAAAACAATTTATCATGTCTTTACTATAGAATATAGACGGATAAAATATACGTCTTTCTTGTGGTTTTAAAGGTCAAGTGCAGTTTAGAGATGAGTGCGAATGCGATACACTTTTATATGTATGTATATTGTATAGACGTTGGTTTATATGAAAACTCTCATTTTAGTGCTCTATACTCATAATAAAAAACCAAGACCATGTCTAAGACCACATTATTAAAAACAACAGCTTTAAAAACAACACCGAAGCATGATGCTTCAAGCATCCAAGATCTGAATTTAATTGACGACTAGCTCTTGAACATTACAATGTATGCCAAGCAATGAAACATGGATCACGATTCTTCATTGCGTAAATTATCACTACCTTAGTAAATGAGTAACAACAGTAATAACTAATATTCTTCAGTACATTGTACAATGTATTGCAATGTACTGAACATACAGAATATGATACAGATACATTTCTTGCTTTTTCTCTTTACATCGATGTTGTGGCAACAGATTTCAGATTTGCGCAAATGTAATTTGATATCAAGCAGTATAATAAATATATAATGCAAACTGCCTAGTTTTCTGGGTGTGAGAAGGTGAAGAAGACTGGGAACGTCCTAGTTTTTTTGTGCGAAGAGGTCTGAGAACATCCTAGAATTACCTTATTTGGAAAAAAACTAGGCTGTTTTCGAAAAAAACTAGGACGTTTCCAGTCTCCAAACTACCAATCGCGTGTGATGACGTTGTTTTAATCTTAATCTAGACATGTTGACAGAATAAAAACATTCCTAAACCAGAGATTAAAATTATAATGCGGAAACAGCTGTGCATACGGTATTAAATAGCGGAATATTTTGAAATTAAACACGATAATCTAGAATACACGTAGGCAACTTTAACTGACAACCAATTTTATGACTTGAATCAGGGGCGTCCTAGTTTACGCTTTCTGGTTGCCTAGTTTTTCCATTTTTACCGTTTTTTTGCCTAAAATTGGAAAGTTTATGAGATTGGGTTCCCAGGCACAACTGGCCTCATTTGGAACCCTGCTGTGAGACACGCTTCATAACACTTTGTATCTGAACATTCAACTGAGGATGCAAGCTTGAGGGTGGATTGTTCACACCTGCCCTGTTATAATTTTGTGGCTGTGGTTGATACAAAGGTGGCTGTGCTTGTATAGCTGGTAGTATTCCAAGTAGGTTGTCTTCCTCAGTGTGCCAGTTTATACGATGTTGAGCCAAGTGTCTTATCATCACGTTGCTAACTTTTTTGCCTAACTCATTTTTGAGCATTTTGAGAAAAACAAATAAAACTGCATAGAGATTCGAAAAACTTGTTCTTTATATTGAAATCTCATACAACAACTAGTAAATACCACATGGTTAAAATGTATAAGGTAAAAATTTGTCAACATTGATAAAGGAGTCTAATAATGACTTAGGCATAAATGTAATAAACAAAATGTGACTTACACAGTTTTGTCAGTTCGCATATTTGCATAAAAATCTACAATGTCACACTGTTTAATTGTTGTGGTGTGGCAGATTGTCATAAAATGGATGTGCCCATGTAGGTAGCACTGGCTTCATTGATTGGAGGTTGTTGTACTTCCTTTCCTTGATTGGTAGCTGTTCTTTGAAATGACGTATCTGTGAGAATGGCTTTTTAGGAAGGGAGATTCGTTGTCGCAATTTTTCCCAGATGGCCTTCTCTGAGATCTCCAACTTGAATTGGACTGTGCCAGTAGATTGGAACTCAAGGGCCCAGAGGTTGTACACAGTAGGATCTCCAGTCTTCTTTCCAGGACGAATGCTGGAAAGATAGCTACCATCAAGCTTCATCACCTCATCATGGGACACCTGCTTCACAACATGGGGTGAGGGTTTCAATCTGGCTGACTCCATGACCACTACATAATCATGGGGGATGTAAATATCACCAACCAGCTTCCTTTCGATCGTGGCATGCTTGCTATCCACCTCCATCTGAGTGTGCCCAACAACCAAGTACTTCTGGACAATTTTCACACCACATTTAATTGCCAAATCCAACAAGCTGTTGGCCAGGTTGGTGTTGCGATTCTGGTAGGTGAAACCATCACTCCAAATGACAATTTCCTCTATTTCCGGGTGAGCATCAAGCACTTCGCTAAAATGTTTATACTTAAGTGAGCAAACATCTCACTGTTTACATCACCTTGGGTTTCATCCCACACATAGCAATATCCTTCACCAGATTTTAGATTATAAAAACTTAAGTTATGCAGCTGGAGTTTAGTTTTATAATACAGGGCACTGGCTTTAGTTTTTGGGCACAAAAGCACAGCTTGAACATCCAGAGTCCATACAGACTTTTTGGCACTTGCTGTTTCTTTATCTTTGGCCTTCTCTGCCCTTGCCTCACCTTTGGCTCGAATATGGGCTTGGTAGCTCTCCTGGTCAATGTTGCCATGTTTTGCACTAATGCATGTATCACATTGGTCTTTTCTGGGGATGAAGACGGAATATTTTAATTTATGGAATGTCTTGTTGAAAAGTTTTATGCCCACTGCCCTGAACCATCATCTTCTGCTGCTTGCTTGTAATCTCGGTGAAGTTGGTTTAGTGTTGTGCCAGGTTCAGGAAACTTTTTCTCTTGATTGGCAGGAGTGCTTCGACAGTAATGTGAAGGAAGAGTTGGAAGCTTTTCAAACCATTTTATTAAATAATTTTTGTCAGCCTCGCCAAGAACAGCAGTTTTTCCTAAACAAGATGGCAAGTTGGTTCATGTTAGTAAGTAGATCAAAGAAGGCTTTCTAGCTCTAAGATTCATCCCATTCTTTGGTGTCCTTGGCAATTTTGGCTGCTTTGCACAATCAGGATCTTTAAATTCCTTCAACCAGGACAGAATGGTTCTTGCTGGAACCCCATGGTGGATGCAAACAGGCTTTTGCAAACTGGAATCTCTCTTCCATCCTGAAGCTTCAGTTTGTATTGAAAGGAGTGCTTCCTACCGGAATTCCCATGGTCAACCTTAGGTTGTTTTACATCAAACTGAAAAGACAAAATAATATAGACAAAATAATATTACATTATGATGCGGGGAGCTTTGGTGCTCAATCTATGCCTGGTGACGTCTGGAATGTTTCAATACTGAAGAATGCTGTAGAGTCACCACTGCTAGTGTGACTTGTGACTTATCTCAGTTAGATATTAACATGACTTACCTTTAACAAGATCATTTGCTTAAATGTATTTTTATTAGTTTTGTAGTTTTAGTGAAGAATGTCTAATGATATTAAATGCTTACTTTATGTTGTTTCGCCTCATCGAAGTATTGCAAAATGATATTTTTACTTTATAAAAAATTTAACATTTACCATAGAAATTAGTGTTTGAACGTGTACACGTCTCTCATCCCACGTTCCCATGGACCAGAACTTGGTAAATATCCACTATCTTTGTTCTTCTGAGATGGAGTTGCAGCTTCGGAGTGTCGACTTCTGGCATGATGCAGAGGTGCATGGTGGCCTTTTAACGTTGTGTAAGGAACACCTCTCAGATGTTTTCCCTTTAGTACATTCTGCTTCCATTTGTTTTTTTGCATGGGATGATATCTCTTCCTTGCTTTATCTGCATTTTCTAGATTTTGTTCCTCTAGCTGATTATTTATCTCATCACCTTCAACAGAATAGACCTTTACGCCTTATGACGTCATAAAGGTTAATGCGCGCGCTGAATTCTGGTCTTAGTAGTCAAATTCCATAAATTCCAAAAAGGCAAAAACATGGAGTCAACACGGAATGTTGAGCTCACTTGTGCTGAAGTTGTTCGCGATCTTTTAGACGCTACGCTGGCAAACAAAAGCCCCAGTTCTTTTCAGAGCTCTTGCCCGGGTGGACGAATGTTAACTAGCTCTAAAAATATTGATGAGAATTCCAACTGTACGACGAAAAAATCGAAATCTAGTGGCGGCTTCACCTGTTGTGTCCCTGGTTGTTTCAACAACAACAAACAAAGTCCCAAGCTTTCCTTCTACAATTTTCCAAATGGAAAAAGCAAAGAATCAGTAGAACTTCGAAAGAAATGGATACGCTTGATTTCTCGGGTAAATTTTACGCCAACGATAGGTCAGAGTTTGTTCGGAGCACTTTTCTGGAGGCAAGAAAACTTATACAAATAATTTGCCAACCATTGTACCTAGTTCGCAAGTAACAAAGCTGGCTAAACCCTGCAATCCAAGACCGACTGTAAAAGCCAGGAACCGGACATTTGTTTCCAAACAAAACAATGCTAATGGAACAACACCACAGAGTAGACGCCGTTTATTTTCCGAGATTGAGGAAGATGCAAACTCGAACCTTGAAAATATTGATCCAAATGATCCTGAAACTATGCCTGCAGCTGGCAAACAAACAGTCGAGGAGTCGAGTGTTCTTGAGGAAAAGATTGCTTTGCTAACAAAAGAAAACAAAAGACTTCAAGCTGAGAACGAGCAATATAATATTCAAGTTATTCAATTAAAGGAGGAAATTAAACATGAACAAAATAAAATGTCTTTCTCTGTTGAAAATTTTAAACATGATGACAAACTGATCAGGTTTTAGTCAGGACTTCAGGATTATGCCACTTTTAAAGCACTGTTTGACAGCCTTGGAAAAGCAGTAAACCATCTTATTTATTATGGCAGTAATACAAATCCTGACAATCTTACATCCAGTGATGCAATGAAACATGGTCCTAAAAGATCATTCTCACCTGAGCAAGAATTTTTCTTGGTATTGGTTCGCCTTCGTCTGGGACTGCTGGAAGAGGACCTGGCTGTAAGGGCTGGAATTTCTCAGACATACATGTCGAGGATAATTATCACATGGTTGGATTTTTTGCACTCTCGGTTTCGGAGTATCCCTATATGGCCATCAAGATCTTCTGTTGATCGAAACATGCCAACAGCATTCAAAGAAATGTACCCATCAACCCGAGTAATCATTGATTGCACTGAAATATTTCTAGAAACACCAAGCTCTTTCAGAAGCCAAAGTGCTACATATTCTAACTATAAACACCACAATACTGCGAAAGGACTGGTTGGAATCAGTCCTTCTGGAGCTGTATCATTTGTATCAGAACTTTATGCTGGGCGAAGCAGTGATGAACAAATAACATTGGATTGCGGAATTCTAAATTTGTTAGAAGAAGGTGACTCTGTCATGGCTGATAAAGGCTTTGAGATAGAAGGTGATATGCCGCTGGGTGTTTCTCTCAATATCCCTCCATTTCTAAGAGAAAAGGACCACTTGTCCATTGATGAAGAAACTGAAACTCGCCGAATTTCCTCTGTTATCATTCATGTTGAACGTGCAATTTCACGGATAAAAACTTTTAAAATCTTAAAAACTATATGTCCCATAACATTAAGTTCAGATCTAAATAAGATCTGGGTTGTTTGTTCATATTTGACAAACTTTTTGCCACCTTTAATAAATAATCCAGAATAATAGTGTTAATACTTGATGTAATCGACTACAAAAAGCCCTAATGGGGAGTGTATTGAAAAATGGACGTATGGAATTGATTTGAACAAGAATTATTGTCGATTTCAACTTAGTTTCCACTAAAATGTTCCAAACTTCGCAAATTATTTGCAAAGTTCAAAAGCTGATAATGAAATTTACAAATCGGTTTTTAACCCGAGCATTTGATTGGCTGGTTTGATTTAGTAGCCAATCGGAGGTTTTGTTTACAAACCAATTTGTAAATTTCATCATGAACTTTGGGTCATTCCAGAAAAGATCCACACTCCCCTCACTGAGGAAATTTCTGCCCTCCAGAGGGGAGAAAAAATTGTTTCTGATACCCCCTTTGGATGTCCTAATACACTTACTATTAGGGGGGTTAACTTCCAATTTCCTCTGTGGGCGAGGTATGTATGTTTTCTGGAATGACCCATTTTAGTGAAAACTAAGTTGAAATTGACAATAAAGCATACATAAAAGACACTAATGAACACAAAAACAGGAATTGTTGCAGTGGTTTTCAGTATCTTCAGTTTAAATGCTGTTTATATGCTAAGCAATTGTCTATAATGTCAGAAAACATTCACACCTCACCCAGAGAGAATTAGGGAGTTGAAGCCCCTTCTCTCTTTGAATGTTTGGGAAGGGGAGTGACTTGGGACAATGGTGAATTGGAGCAATTGTCCCCTGTTTCAGTTCATTCACACTTGTCCCAATTCACCCCATTTTACAGCACCATACATTACTAGTAGATTTTTTATTTTTTTATTTAGGTGCTAAAATAGGAAGAATAAATGAGCAATAAAAATCTGTTAGCTCTGGTACCATTTTCTTCTCCCAGAGACTAATGTCTTGATGCAATCTTTGGACATGAATGTCAGTGTTAGTATATATGACAAAGTCAAGCCAGGGCAGTCCTAAAATGTTCATTGTCCCCTTGGCACTGGTAGAAATATTCATGTTTGTCCTTCAGCTTGAGGCCAGAGGTAGTGTTTTTCAAAAAGAAGCGTTTATCTCCATTGACAGCATCAAGTACTGTCATGTCCTTCTTTGAGTATGGACACTTTATCTCCACACATCCAACTACCGTATCACCTTCCACAACAATGCTATCAGGACTGCAGCCAAGCCATGGCCATCTTGGACTTACCACTAGACCACAGCTTTTCACTTCCAAATTTTCTTTATTTCTCAAGTTTTTGTATTTTTCTACAGCATTGGACTCATTCTCAATACCCCATTGTAGAGAAACTGGCATACGAGAACTTTGGCATTTAGTTTTCTCAGTGATAGTTCTTACAATCGAATTTGGTTCAACTGTCTTTCGCCTACTCATCACCTTCCCGAATACAGATGCAGTTATACGAACTGATCTCTCAACATACCATTGTGCACTGGAACTTTGGTATATAGTTTTTAAACAGATGTCCTTAGCTTGCTCAGGTGTTACAAACACTAAGGTTTCCATTAGTTTCTTTTCATCCGAACCCAATTTAACAGTCTGGTCAAGCTCACATGGTACAGAGGTAAAAACTTTGTCAACCAATAGCTTGCCAGTATTTGGTTCGACTGTTTCTAGATCCAACTTAGACTTTGTCCTCTGAGCCTTTGCACAGGATGTTTCAAACATATCACATGGCTCATAATTGTTTGATTCAAGTGTGTCACAAAGTAGTGAAGCTCTTTCACCTTCCCTAAGTACATTCGCCATTGATTGTATATCGTCTTTGGTGACAGTCTGGGCATAAGGTGGTGTGCTACAATACTTCTCTCTGATAGTACTTGAATGCATTCATTTATTGGTCTTGTTGTATTGTGCTTTCTGAAACAACAGTTCGTCAAACTTAACAGCTTTGTTCAATTTTTACGGCAGCCAGAAGGAATACTCCACTTTTGAGCGACTTGTGTACACGTAAGGTCTTCAGGAATCATACTTAAACTCAAGTTAACAAAATCCAACAGAGTGTAAAGCAAAGCAGCAACGTGTTTACAACAGCCACCTTGCCCTGCTTTACAAGTGCACTTTGCATACTCGACTTCGCCACTCTTCTGGTCTAAATGAACATAAACAGGGTAACTTATACTCTTCATGGATGCACTAACTAGCTTTAACCAGAAACAGTTGAATTTTACATTGGACGTTTGCCTTGACTTGAACATTATTGACATAACCTTCTTTCCAAAGGCCGTATCCTTTCTTCATGTTCCTATGAGCCTTTGGCGCTATTTTGTCAGGCATTGTGCGGCTGTTATTCACCATTTTATTTTCTAATTTTTGGTGGGTAAACGGAGGAATATCTTGCAGTAATTTTGTCCATCCTTTGGTTTCGCTGTGCGGAAAACTTGGTGCATCGTCGTCTAAATCAACTTTGTCTTCATCTAGTCTGAACATATTAACAACAGGCGATATCGGCCGAACTTCAGTGGACTCACTACGACATACATCCCTTCCAGAGGCTCCCATTTTTGCTTGAACATCACCTTGACCACCCGTGCAAGAGTTCTTAGAAGAACTAGGGTCACCAAGAATGATTTCATTTTCAAAAAAAGCGCATGAAGTATCGGTATTTCCAGCGAACAAGCCCACCATTTTTGTTGTTTGAAATTTATGGAATTTGACTACTAAGACCAGAATTCAGCGCGCGCGTTAACGTTTATGACGTCATTAGGTGTAAGGTCTATTGGATTCAAGGCTTCCATCATAATCCTGTTGGCTACAGCTAAGATTCTCCTCAACCTCATCAAAATCTGGATCATCCTCTGTATCATCAAAATCTGGATCATCCTCTGTATTGTCACACATGCTACTACTGCTCTCCATGTCACCATCATCTCCATTATGCCCGCTTTCTATACAGAAAATTATTTTGAAAATAAGAAATTAGATCTATCCTGAGTACGAGTAATTCCAAAAATCTTTGGCATTGTGGCCAGGCACTCTGGTCATTTTAATAATACAAGTGAATTTAATAAAAGCTTGGAAAATACTTGTTAATGTATAAATCAACAAAGGTTTTCTTGAAGTTCAGATAAGCTATTTCCTGCATTTTGAGGATTTTTTTAAACAAGAAATTAACCTTATAAACAGTGACACAATTACTACAATTTCAAATGTAATCCAGTCCCAATAAGGCAACATGGTGTGATGATGCAGTAATTAAAATGTGTATGTGGTATAGTATTATCATTCACCACACTTCAAATTCTACAGCACATGTATTGGGGTACATGAAATCGACGCATTCGTCTTCTCAGTATCACTGAAGAGCAAGATAGGGTGGTCTCATTGGAATATCTTTGCTTGGAAAAACTAAACTAGAATTTCATCCTAAAATGCCATTTCATGCCTTTCTCCACGAGCAAATTACTTCAGTCATGGTTTAGGTTTCTGGCGATATGTTTAATTAAATTTCCGTCTCCAAATTCTGGCCTACCAAGTCAATTGACTTGTTGACTCATAGCTAGATGGTCAAATTCAGAAATGTTAACAACGTTTTCTCACTTTGATACATAATTGCTGGTAACAACCTACTGCAGGTAGTTCTTAGGGACCTCACTGGGGGGGGGAATTACCAACTGGAGGGGCCAGTAAGAGGGCTGGGGGGACATGTGCTCCCCAGTCTATATGTTAAAAGAGGCCCTGAATTAAATACAGAAAGGTCTTTCTTTGTATGGAACTTCCCATGCATACTGCATTATGCAGCAGCATCTTTCTCATAATTAGAGACCTAACGCCAAACCGCTAACAATAATTGTGATTTAACTATGCTCTTGTAGAAATTACACTCATTTTGTTACATAATAAACATCCTACACCAAGCTCATGACATTTAGCAATAATGATTATCAGAAAATTAGTTAGCCACAACTAACATATTAGCCAAGATAGTAAATTCAGCTTTTAAGTTTGAGGTTAACGTTTGCGGTATAAATTTTACACATGGATCCAGATAAGTTTATTTTTATAATACAAATTTTAATGTAACATGGCCCACCCTTATGATTGCACTTAACTTTCGATGACCCAGCCCTTCAACCTGCTCAAAAATAGTGACCCACCCCCTATTTTTCCCAGCCCACCCCCCTTTTACTTTATGACCAGTCCCTAACCATAAACAAAAGCTTCCAAAATATGGGGAAAAATTCCTAAACAAATTAAATCGGAGCGATTGCAGAATACCCGTCCACTTTTGATAGGTTGTTAAACCGAATAAATGAATTAAAAGATTATTTCAAAACAGTTCACAATTAAAATTTAAAGATAAAACTACAAGAATATGTTGCTTGTAGTTAAATTCAATGCCGGAGTCTTTAAAGAACGAAGCATTTAAAATTAACATTCTTTTCTGATTTCGCCATGTTTACAAGGAATTAATAGGTGTAATATGTCAAAGTGGACGGGTATTCTGCAATCTAACCAATTAAATCATTGCCATTTTGTAGTTTCAAAATACAGTATAAAATGTTTCTTCTTAATAATCAAGTAGAATTACATGACGGATCGAAATACAACTATCAGGGACGTGGCAAAGCATCTGAAGTTGGGGGGCCAGCATGTTGGAGGATTTTACCTGAAATTTGAATTTCAATGTTAAAAATTTATCTGAAATGTAATAATTATAATAAATCTTTTTGTGATTGATTTGCACTGTCATACTAAGTTTCAGGAGAAAAGGTGGGGGGTCTGTGGGTCCTCCCCCAGAAAGTATTTACATTTTTGAAGCTCCTAGGACTGAATTTCTGCCATTTTCTAAAGCAAATTTGCAAACAAATTGGATGTAAATTGACCGTATTTTACAAAAATGGTTATCATTTCACAAAAATAATTACTTTATTATGCAAATTTTACCTGAAAATGTCAGAATTTGAACTTGAATTTTACATAATTTTTGCCTGAATTTCACATTAGGAGGGGGGGGGGGTTACACCTCCCTCCCACACCCTGCTAAATCCCTGTCAATCATTCCTTGTGAAGATATAATGACTTAAATTTCTAAAAATCCACCATTTTGTGCTATTTTTAGTAACAATATGGCAGATTTTTCTACATTTCTATGCTATATCTTCCCATAAAATGGTTGTATTTAAAAAACAGATTTCAGTTTTAAACTACCCTTAGTCTTATTATTTATTGAGCGTTCTCTGACTTAATATTTATTTCTACGAGCTTTCGGCTATCAGTCTATAGCCTTCGACGGGTGTATACAAATGATTCTATAAAGGACGCTAAAATTAAGTAGGTGATATGAAATCTGAGACTATCTATGCTATGTTACAAATGGTTAATATGAATATTTAACTAATTAATGTTTCTTGAGTTCCTGTCTTAAAAGTATTGTGTACTGTGCTGGAAGCGTATTAGAGTTATTATCAGCTTTGTTAGTGCAGTGTGCCAGGACTCTAAGGTTTTAAGGTTTCTATGATTTCCCTTGTCTATCACTTTAGCATTGGCAAAGTCAATTATATGGTCTTTAGTCCATGCGTGTTTTGCAACATTCGATCCCTTCTTGCTGTGTTTTACATTCCTTACATGTTCAGACTTTCTCGTCTTCAGGGATCTTCCTGTTTCGCCTATGTAGCTCCAACTACAATCTTGACATGGTATTTGGTAGACCACGTTCTTTTGCTCTTCAATTGGTGGTACCCTTAGTCTGCTCTTCTATATAAATGGACCCGCCAAAAAGTAGTCGCAATTCCAAAAACAAAAAAAACATACAATTTGTATAAAGAACGATATGTTCTTTCACCATCACATGTGTATTATATTTTTGTCATGTCCACCACTGAGCAATTTCCAGTTTACCATATTGTTTGAGTCGTGGATAGGTAACTTTCCTAAAACATTGCTGTTGGTTAGTCAGGCAAAAATACATTATGCATGTGACAGTAAAAGACCAGATTTATCAGAATGAATGTAAGAGTTCACTAACATAGATAATGAGTTACATTGTTATTCTAAAGAGTTTCCAAACCATCTATTCTATTAACTACCTTGGGGGTCAACACTCCAGGTTCCTGCTGGACAAAAACGTTGAAAAGTTTATAGCCCCCCTTCAGTATAATGCCCGAAAATATTTCGATGCCCCCCCCCCTCAACATCTTCATCCCCCCTGAGCATAATAAAAGTACTTTCCCTAATTGGAATTTAAATTCTCCCTCAAGACATACTTATTTAAGGAGGCATATGCCTACTAACATTGTATATTATAACATTCAAAATAGCAGAAAAAATTTTTGTTTGGACAGACAAAGAAGTTACCTTGTTACTGAATATTGTGACTGATTACACCTTGTTATTGAGTATTGTGACTGATTACAAGGTGGAAAAAGCAGCTAAAGCATTGGATTGGAGAAGTATGAAAAACAAGTTTGATGACCTCTCAAAGACACTTAACGAAAGACATCCAAACAGGCCAGCCAATGAGTTACCCCACAAGACAGAGTGTGAGAAACTATTTACAAAAGAAAGGCTTAAGACTAAGCTCAAAAGAATTAGGCTCGGTTACAAGAAAGCCATCGACTCCGGAAGAAAAAGTGGAGGCAGAAGAATTGTGGCAACATTTTACAATGAATGCTGTGAAATTTGGGCTGGTTCTCTAGCTGTTAAATATACAATTAATGGCTAGCCTCCTCCGCAGGCATCTCACCCGACGAATCGGGTGGTGGGAAAAAGTTTGGTGAGATGCCTGCCATAAATCGACACAAAAATTTGCACTGTGCATACCGGCTTGCGCATGCAAATTTCGACAAATGCAAACTTAGGGGGAGTAGGAAGGGCTTACAGCAAGGAGTGGAGAAATTTTTGTTTTCAACACGATGGCTTATAAAACTACGACAAATAACTGTAAAGTTAACGAATAATACTGCTCTTTAACATTGTCAATACACAGGGAACTTTGACTAAGGAGCTGAGAACGTTAGCGTGAGCCGAAGCAGCGATTTACTGGGATTGTTTAGGGATGACTCAACGAGTGACTTTCCTGAGCAGCGAATTCACGTTGTCATCGATTCCGAGGTCGATTCATGTCAAGACAGGGTGTCAATTGAACGTTTATCGTTGATATATACAAATTCTACTCAAATTGCTGACGACATTTTATATCATAATATTAAAGCTGAAATTGCAGTGATTCATTCGAAATTATAACACGAAAAGGAACAAGCGAAAATTGTCCAATATATAAAATGTAAATTCAACTGTTGACATCTGTGACTGTGCATGCCTTTGGTATCAGTTAAATATATACCTCTTGCATTGCTTTAATACGCTTGTATGGAAAGAAAATCATTAATAAAAAGTCTTTAAAACAAAGAGGTTTTTTTATATTGCGGAATACACCGTGCAATTTATCCCTTGGACAAAGACAAAGTTTTCAAACTTGAGTGGCTTAGATAATAATGGCCCTGTTTTATATATGGGTGTGCGTAATGCCTAGACATATATAAGGGAATAAACATAAAGGAATAGAAAAGACAACTGGAATTTAATAGGAATCTAATAGTTTTGCAAGTGACGGTTTATGTGACATCCATCTTGCTTGCCAAAGTTCACAGGCAAAATATTTACATGGGTAAAATCCATCAATTTTGCAAGGCAAATTTCCATGCAAGTTGTAACCATACAAACAGTCACTGAGGAAACTTCCCAATGATAGCTAGTGTTTTGCTATTGTTACATTACACAGCAACCATGCTGTCCCAATTCCAATTATTCAACTACATATTAACTGTAAGTTTACAAAAATGAATACATTTGGTAAGCTTTAGCAGGGATGGATCTAGCATGATCTGATGGGGGGGATGCTCTGCCAGCTCTGGTGCTGAGTTGTGTCGGTCATGTATGCCGCCCACCCATCAACTTGCTTCACTACTGCAAAGTCTTGCTTGACTACTGTATTTGAATTGTAATTGTTGTTCACAGTTCGCTTATCATCATGTTATTACTCAAATTACTGTATCTCATTTTGTCTCTAATAATTTTTGCTTATCATGAAAAATAGCACCTCTGCACCCACTCTGGCCAGGGCTAGGGGGGGGGGGGCAACCCCCCACCCCCAGTAAATCCATCCCTGAGCTTTAGATTAACCCATTATCTGCACTCTCCCATTGAAGAGTAAAATTGTCTGATGTTAGACAGAGTGAAAGCAGGCACTCCCCTGTCAGGGATGAGACAACGAGAACTTGTTGTGGGCCCCTGGCATTGTAGGCTCTTACATGAAAAACCTAGATTTACTATATTTTAAACCAATATATGTCAAGAGCAATTTTATTTGAACATGAACAAGGGAGATACATATAATTAGAGAATATGCAGATACATCATAAATTCATTTATTTATCAAATCATGGATCATGTCATGTGGCCAGTAAGTGTAACACAACTAGGCATATACTATATTAGAAAGAGGTTGTTACATGTGCCAACTGCTTTTCACGGGCATGGTGCCACAATGCAACTTAATGGATTTAGCATATTTACATGATATTAAGGGGGTAAGGGAGTTAAAAAAACTGCAATTTCAATTTAACTATTCAACCAAGTGAAGCCTGGTTCACATATACCTACGGTACGTTGGCAGGCTATTGTCGTTAGAAGTAATTCGCAAAAGATCGAATGTATAAACCAAATAATTCACAAAAGAATGTATGCATCAACAGCTGTAAACAATGATAGTGCAGGCATACCGCAGGCATATGTAAACCAAGCTTATAATTTATTAAGATGCCAACAAAATCTTGATGTTCGTAGTAATCAAATTTCTGTATTTGATATTTCTCTCCTCACTTATTGAAATGGTTGCTTCAACAGAAAGATCTTTTCCTTCTATATATCAGTTCACTGAGCATGTTGCCTGATGATTTGACTAAAATGAGTGAAATATAATCAAAATTTCAACCCCTTAGACATGTCAAAATATTATTCTAGAAAAACAATACAATTTAATATAATCCCTTTATTAAACAAATTATACCTTTGGTATCGTTCCATTCTTCGTTTTGCGTTCGAAATTATGCCAGATAATTTCCTCAAATTGTAGTTCCTCGGCTGAACAATTGAGCAGAACTCTGAACCCATACATTCAATACATATTTGTAGACATAATTAGTAAACACTTGGCTGCTTCGAGTGAGCGATTCAGAATTTGCATGTCGTTTTTAGACCGCGAGAGACATTGCGACACATAATCCTTTCAATTGACCAACTACTTTTCGTATAGCTTGAATATTTCGACGCATTATAAAACATTTTTAAAGTTTTTAATGTTTTTTTAAAATCGCAAGCTTCACTCCTCACCCGAAGATTTCAAACTGAATATATAATAAGGGTCAAAAGCCTACTTAGGGGGTGGGGTACATTGACACAGTCCATTTTGTTCGATTTATGGCAGGCCTCTCTCCCAGAAATTTTTTTTTTCAAAACCCAATCGCAGGCTAGAACCCATAGAGAGGCCTGCGGAGGAGGCTAATTAACGGCATAGATAGTTCAGTACAAGGCACAGATGGAGAAGTAGATGAAAGATTTAGTTTCTTCCCTAGACATGGGCATGGATGAGCCAGAAGAAGACCTAACTGAATTGAAGACAACGAGAGATGAGACCAGAAGCGGCCCGCCAAAGTTTTTGAATGAGAAAAAAGATGGAAAACTCAGCAAGAAGGTGTCAACAGACAAACAACTTATAGCCATCGTGAACAAAGAACTTTCACTCAAAAGAAAAGTTGCTGAAAAAATGGAGTAGTCTGAAAAGAAATATAAAAAACGATGGATTCGTTTGCTGAAGGGCTAAAAGTCCTAACACTTATACAAAATATTGGCGCCAAAATTTGAAAAATTCAAAAAAGTGAAATGAGAGCATTTCTTAGAATGAAAAGATCTGTCAAAGTAAAAAATATCAAATCAATTCGTCAAAAGCACACAAAATTACACTTAAGTGAGCATTTGAGGCAATAAATCCCCACCGTGAACATCCTTACTTTGGGATGCTCATAGATTTCCCAACCGACGGTGTCACACAAGAATACACATATACTGAAGTTATAAACCTATGTCTATGAACATTTTTTAAACTCAATTGCTATGTACTTAATTGTATAAACTTAATTGTACCCCTTTATACCTTTTTTTAATTTTAAAGATAATAAAGTAGTGAAAACATTTTCTGAAAGGCGGCCGGGGTAATTAGGCCATAATTGCCTAGCAGCACAAACCTCATATCTCATGAACCAATTACCCAAATCTAATGACTGATATATTTTCGAAAAGCTTAGAACCTGGGCTAGTGCCTGACACTCATTATTTGTACTTTTAATTGAGATATTTATTATGCAATTTGTGAATAATTCATCAATAATGAAAAATATTGAAATTTGAAGAGTGTCAGGTACTAGAGAATGGTACAGGAAATGATACATTTATAGAAATGTGCAAAATATCAATAGTCAGGTGGCTTAGCAAATTTAACGTTACCGGCTGGACAAAAGTACCAAATTTGGCATGGAGTTTCTTCTCAACCTATCTATTGATTTTATCCATGGAACCCACTTGATCAGTTCCGATTTTCCACGATGGCAGCGAAAATCCAAGATGGCCGCTAGAAAAAAAGAAATGTCATATATCGGACAGTAAAAATCATAAATCAACAAATGAGGTGTCAATTCATGGGTTTCCGGGGTCAATGAAACAGATGTTGGTCATGAAATGATGCTCAGGCCACCAATTTCCAAAATGGCGGCCAAATTTCAAAATGTCCGTCAAAAAAAAGGAAATTTCGTATATGTAGTGTGAAAATCGGAAATCAACAGAGATAATGTCCGAAAAAGCCTTACTTCACCTGATTTTGAATGGTTATTGCGACTTCTATAGCTACATATCAGCCTACATGTTAAGTACATATTGGTAGTATTCAGGAATTATATCTACAATGTTTCAATACAATATGTATCTCCACCAGACAGTTCACAGTTGATGTATCCTATTTGGATGAACATGTGCACCGACAAAGAGATGTGCAAGGCAGATTATTTGCCTTACTGCATTTCCAGACTGTACAGGCCCTTTTGCAGTAACATTTTACGAATTTTCTGCACGCTTTAGACGCCTCTGGAATGGTAGACCAAACAGGTTCCCATGAGTTCCCAACTATCACCCACACATATGCGGTTGGACATGAATTTGTTTGTTGAGATAACATGCATGTTGTCCAGATGCCAGCCTGGTATACTGCCCTCCTAATGTGCTGCAGTAGTGCATTCTGAGTAGGTGGTATCTTGTCAACTGGCTGAACAGCTCCATCTGGGGACTGTTAACATTCATGGCATTACTTGTTTTGTCATAAACTACGACAACTAGTCTCTCGATTCTTTGAAATCATTCAGAATGTAAATCAAGAAGCTCAAACGTGCGGCAAGATGAACAAAGGCATCAGTAACTTCCTCGTAGCTAGCAAGAAATCGTTCTGGCAGGCATGGAATGCTTATGACTAAGCATTCCATGCCTGCCAGAACGATTTCTTGCTGATGTAGTATCACATCCTGACAAAGAGTGGAAAACGGTACTGTTCACGCTCGCCAAGTACGTACAATGGAAATGGCCAGCTCTCTATGGCGAGAAAGTCTATGTAGTTATAATGGGCAGACTGCACAATGAGAAGGCGCTATGGAAGACTGTTGGCGATTTATTAGATGGGTCAGGTTGGACAATAGTCTCCTACGCATACCTACTTAGCGGGCTGAGCACTCACATAAGGTATGCTTACTTTGGCCAAGAATTCCTTTCCTCAAAATTAGCCAATCACAGCTTTACCCACGGAAATTGTGGGGCTTGACCTTGAGGCTTGGGTCGTCAAAAGTTTCAAAACATTTAATCTTGATGACTTGAACATTTCATATCTTCATTTGTACGTATTCATATCTTAAACTGATTATCTGCGAGAGCTGAGAGATATATTTGTTCACAGTGATTTGTTATACATATACCAGACTACAAATTTACAATATGGAACAATTGTAAAATCTGTTAGAATTTGTCTAGCTATTGTTTTGAACAGACAGTGTAGTAAAATTTGATTACTTTACAAGCGTTTGCAGGTGTTACTGTAACACGGGTAATATACTGGATAAAGACTTCAAGACAAAGTTATAAAGTTACAGTGTACATTTATTACTGCGGGTGTATATAATAAATTTATAAATACTAATTGAAGATTACAGAATTCAGCCTATATAAAATACTGAATTGATTCATTGCATATTTCGGTTTCAAAGTTTGTATATGACTAGCCAGTTTATAAAGTTTAATAAAATCGTAATTACAAAAGTCGCTCTGATATTAAACGTTCAGAAACTTATCTCTGGAAACTTATAGTATATATCGAATATACATGCCGTCACGCAGTCTCGTCAAGTTCAAAACAAGTACCAGTGAATAGTTTTATATACATTTAAGCCTTCGACCTATCGCGTACATTCGTTGCAAAAATATTCAATATTTTCTACTGTTCACATTTATGGCCATTTAAATACGTATATACCGTATTATTATTTGATTATCGCACGCTCCTTGTTTACACTTTACAGTTGACATTCAAAGTGGGCGTGTCTAGTGTATTTGAATACTATTGGCTAATGGAATACAATGGGAAGGTGAATTGCTAGCGAAAGTAAGCAGAGTGAATCTGAAGTTGAATCTGAAGTTGCTTAATATGGAACAGCTGATTCATTCCTGAAAGTATCACACATTACCAGGACTTGGCATGCCCACCAGGTCACTGTTCTTGTTCTTCAGAAGCTACTGAATGAAGCATTAAACCAGAGATCTAATGTTGATGAGAGTTTGAGCAACTGGCTGGAACAAATGTGTAAGAAATCGCCCACGTTCAAGTTCTGGAACATAATCGCACACTATGAGATTCTTATTCTCATATTTGTTAGAGCCCATAGGGGGAGAAACTTCCCATTGTATGTTACTGTATTGGAGGCACTTGTGCCATTGTTCTTTGCGTTAGACCATGTGAACGATTCTCGGTGGCTGCCTGTACACATCAGAGACATGAAGGCACTGCCACAAGAGATCAAAGATGAGTTTGAAACTCTGAATCACCAGACAATCGCAAAGTCGTTACACACATACTCTGCAATCCCAATCGACCAAGCGTGTGAGCAGGTGAATAAAGTGGTGAAAGCATCCAGTGGTGCAGTAGGACTAACTGAGAATCCAGTTGCCTTCAGATGCTGGATGACCGCTGGACCCGAGCAGGGCTGCATAAAATATTTTACTTCCTGGGACCACAAAGCCAACAAAAATATTTTCTGCACGCAAACACTGGGAATCTTATTGTAGATGAACAGTTATATAGCAGGCTCAGTAATTATGTACTGAAGGCTCAACAATACAATTTCCTGACATATATAAACTAGATTATATTTATTCATCAGTGTGATAGTCGAGGTGTCGAAGTGAAGATATCAATTAATAAACGAACATATTGATAAACGTTTGACATGGTGTCAGGTGTGGGATTTTCCACCTAAATCCTTTAACATTGATATCTATCTCCGAAAAGAGCTTATAGCTAGAAACGAGACGAAATGGCAGACTTGTTTAGAAAACCCGAACCATTGAGCTTCGAGGGAAACGTGGCAGAAAATTGGTGTCGGTTTGAGCTAGAATTGGATATATTCTTGGCAGCAGCTCATCATGACAAAACGGAAAAGACGAAGGCGCACATCATGCTTAATATTGCTGGGAGAGAAGCGATTGAAAAGGGAAGGTCGTTCATGTATTCATCGGCTGTACGCAATGAAGCAAATGAAATAATCACACCGGCAGAGACGAAAGAAAGCATTGAAGTCCTCAAACGAAAATTTAAAGAAATCTGCAATCCGCAGGGGAATGTAATCATAGAAAGACACAAGTTTAACGTAAGAAACCAGAGAGACAGTGAGTCTATTCAATCTTATGTTTCTGATCTCCGTATATTAGCCGATACATGTGAATATGGCACAATGAAAGATGAATTTATTCGTGACAAAATAGTGTGTGGTATTATATCGGACAGGGTTGTTATTCTGCAAAATTTTACCAAAAAGGTCCTATGAAAATTTCAAAAGCGTCCGGGTCACATAGAAAGCCTCGTGTTGATGAAATATTAGCACCTTGTAAATAAGTTCAATTGCTCTGAAGATGTTGTGAACAATACAACGAAACGTTAGCCAATAAATTTTATATTTTGTTATGTCTTGTCTGAAAGTCATTTGCTGGGCTTTAATTTGGGGGCTATACATTTTCAACACTGGGTACTGTAGAGATGAATTGTCACATTAATTCAACAATACATAGGTTAGAATTTCAGATCGTGGATAAGCCTGTCGCATCACTTTTTGGTTTAGAGGATTCATTGAAAAGGAATCTTATTAAGCTAAACGAAACACATTCACAAAGTTCAAGCAAGCGGCGAGTTCAGAGACAAGGTTATGGAGAAGCACAAAGATCTTTTCGATGACAACCTTGGGGAATTACCGGTCGTTTACTCCATGAAAGTTGACAGCAACGTAACACCCGTAATAAACCCACCACACACAATACCAATCGCAATGGGAAAAAAATGTGAAAAAAGAGCTAGACCACATGGTGGAGAAAAAGGTAATCGCCCCAGTCTCGGAGCCAACTGAGTGGGTATCGCAGATGGTAGCTACACGATGCGAAACACGCATTTGTCTAGATCCACGAAACCTGAATCTAGCTTTGAAGAGATCTCATTATCCAATGAGAACAGTCGAAAGTGTTGCTGCTCGTATGCCAGGTGCCTCAGTGTTTTCTACCTTAGATGCAAAATCTGGATTTTGGCAGATTACGCTAGACGAGAAGTCATCGATGCTGACCACATTTGGTACACCATTTGGAAGATTTCGATATCTGCGAATACCGTTTGGTATAAATACAGCATCAGAAGTATTTCAAAGAACAATGGAACAGTTGTTCACCGGCTACCCTTGTGAGATCATTGTTGATGACATATTAGTTTGGGGAAGTGACATTACTGAGCACGATTATAATCTCGAGAAAGTATTGCAGAGAGCAAAGGAAGTTAACCTCAAGCTAACTACAAAGAAGTGCAAGTTCCGACTCGAAAGTGTTTCATACGTTGGGCACCAGTTCACCAAAGGTGGTCTCAAGCCAGATGAAGACAAGATAAAAGCAATCAAAGAAATGCCAGCTCCTGATGGTCCAAAGGCTTTACAAAGATTTCTTGGAATGGTGAATTACCTGCATAAATTCATCGATAATTTTAGTGAAAAGATGGCTCTACTCCGCCAGTTGCTGAACAAAGACACAAAGTGGTCCTGGGATGTACATTATCAAGTGGCTTTCGAGAAGCTCAAGAAAGAAATCAGCAACCCTCCAGTGCTAAAGTTCTTCAATCCTGCGAGACAAGTTGTCTTATCCGTCGATGCTTCCAAGAGTGGTTTAGGAGCAGTTTGTCTTCAAGACGGTTCTCCAGTGGCGTATGCTTCTCGTGTGATGACCGAAACGGAAAGTAGGTACACACATATCGAGAAAGAGTTGTTGGCTGCAGTTTTCGCCTGCACAAAGTTTTACGATTTCACGTATGGCAACAAAGTTGGGATAGAAACTGATCATAAACCCCTCATCACGATCGTGAAGAAACCTCTACACATAGCTCCAGCACGACTCCAATGAATGCTTCTGCAACTTCAGCGATATGACCTGGAATTTGTCTATAAGAGAGGAAGTGATGTATGTGGCAGATACCGTATCACATGCCTATATTAATGAGAAACCCAATCAAGAGAACCACAACGAGTTTAAAGTTATGTCGGTTGAATCCATATCACCTACAAGAATGGAAGAGTTAAGGAAAATTACCTCTACAGACCCGACCATGCAGAAATTAGTTTAAGTCATTGGAAGCAGTTGGCCTACGAAGTACCGAGAAGTACCACGTGAGCTAGCAGAATATTTTTCAGTAAGAGATGCGTTGGTGATCGATAACGTGTAATTCTAAAGAGTCAAAGAGTAGTCGTCCCAGAAAGTCTGCATCGTGTGTATATCGAATAGTTACATAGAGGACACCCTGGAGTAGAGGCAACAAAGAGAAGAGCAAGAGATGTGGTCTATTGGCCAACGATGACGAAAGATATCGAGTATGTAATATCTTTGTGCAAACCGTGCAATAGTACCAAACCACACCAAACCAAAGAGCCCATCAAAAGTCATCCAACACCGAAGTTGCCATGGACACAAGTAAGTGCAGACATTTTTGAATGGAATGATTTGAAATATCTAGTAATTGTCGATGCGTACTCCGGATGGTTTGAAATTGACACCCTACGGAACATGCTGTCTAAGACCGTAATAATGAAAATGAAATGCAATTTTGCAGTTCACGGTGTTCCAGAATTGCTGACGACTGACAATGGCACCCAGTTTGTGAGTGAAGAATTCAAGTTATTTGCGAAAGATTGGAGTTTTAAGCAAGTGACCAGTAGCCCAACAATATCCTCAATCGAATGGTCTTGCAGAGAATGCAGTTAAACAAGCCAAGATGCTATTAGAAAAATCTAAGATGGATGGATCTGATCCTATACTTGGGTTGTTAAACCTAAGAAACACGCCTAGGGATGATAGTCTTGGTTCACCTGCACAGCGCCTTATGCCGAGAAGAACTCGAACAGTTCCTCCGATGTCAAATAAGCTTCTTAACCCATTGAGTTGCATTGCACCCTGATGCACCCTACTTTAGTATTTTACTCTGTCTAACGCCAGACGATTTTACTCTGTCTAACGCCAGACGATTTTACTCGTCAAGGGGAGAGCGCTGGCGCTTAACGGGTTAACTGGCCTATCTGCCCATGTGCCTAGTTAACCCATTAAGGCGGAGCCAATCAGGGCTATTTTAATCTTGTCTCGGACTGTTAAATACTTTAATGCAAAATGTAAATAAGAAAATACAATCTACATGTTATATGTTTGCTTATAAATGCTTAAATACAGGGTTAAAGAGTATGTTTACGGGATATCGGTTATGAAACAGTGACAGTATAGAATGGGTTGTGTGCTTGTTTTCATACAAAGCTCAACATGTTTGCATGACTCCGAAACTTCATCTGCCTAGAAAATCAAAATAACACTGTTTGTTTCAGATCTTCCTTATTTGAAGAAATATTACAAAACAATAATGCATTCCAAGATATTCAAAAACTAAATAAGTATTTTTAGTATTTTTGCACAAGTGAACATATAACAAATCCTATACAAGTTGATTGGTTAAATGTGACGTATTAAGTATAGGTATTTTGAGGCAACAAGGGGGATATGTGATTTATTCACCAAGGTGAATAAACACATATTCCCAAGGTGCCTCAAAATAACCTATACTTATTTTTCACATTGCGAGGTTGCGTTAATGAGTCAGAATAGAAATAATTCTTAATGCCCATGTTGCCTTCGTTAGGTTGTTTTTTTCTAATTTTTTGTGCTGCAAAGACATTGCAGCTAGGGGAATATTAGGGGGGATTATTAAACGGAAATTGATTAGAGAACAAAGGAAACCGAGCAGGGTGAAAAATGAGTTGTTTTATTATATGGCTTTTCAACATGCTCTATTCTGATTGGTTGACAAGCGGTCCCTAAAAACACATATCCGGACTGTGGTCTGTATTTTCTGTATCTGGACCAGTGTTCTGTATCTGGACCAGTGTTCCCCCGAAATTTTTGCTTGGCAAACAGAAAAAAATTTCGCTTTTTAAATTTCCAATTATGCTTTACAGATAAAAAATTCAAACAACCAAATTGTTTTTGATTGAGCATACATGACTACCATATTGTTTCCCAGTGAAACTGACGATAGCCGATTTAATTTGCACGAAAAGCATATGCTCATAGACTCAGTTCAGCCATATAATAAACCAATTATTGACCTTGCTTGTTTGGTCTGTACTGTGAAATATAAGACCTCTGTTTCAAACATGGACCTCGCTCCTTCGTCGCTTGGTCCATACTAAAAAACTTCGGTCTGATATTTCACAGTACAGATCTCACGCTCAGTCCTTTAACATTTACAGGTGAATATAACAAAACCGAAATTTGCAAAATGGGGCCAGCCGTTTTGTGGAAGTTACTGATAAACAAATAAGCAAAATTAAAATAAATTTAGTCCAAAAAACACAAAAGACCTGTGTAAAAATACTAAAATAAATATTCATCTCAGGCTCGGCGATTATCAGGGAATATTCACCTTGACTTTGTCTTGGTGAATATTCCCTGATAATCACCTTCCGTTCGGCAAATAATTGTTAAATATCGCTAATTGTTAAATAATTGTTAAATATCGCTAATTTTTATTACACATGTATGCTAAGGGATAGGGTAAAACACTCGTACGGACGGACAGACGGATGACCTATTTTTCTCTAAAATATGTTTTAAACATATCAGCGTGGCCCAATAGGTAAAACACAGATATGGTGTAAATTAAATTTTTGAGTCTTTAAAAAGCATACCTGCGTTTTAACCAATCGGGTAAAATGCAGATATGATGTAAAATATACTTTTCGGGTCTTTAAAAGTTGCCCAATCGGGTAACCAAATCTGCCCTTTAGCCTTCCAAATCAGCATTCTAACACCATTCTCGCAGAGCTGAGGTGATAACCATGTTCCTTAACAGTGCTTCCTCCTGCTGGAAATTCTTTCATTACATAAGGGAGTAGTGGGTATGCTGCATCTCCCAGAAGACAAACAGGAACTGGTACAGTGTCTGGCACAATTATTTTATACATTGGAGGGATTGTACCATTAATTGACATCTCATTAACATTCGAATTATAGCCTGTGAACAGGTTTGAGATCTCAAGCTGAATTGAGAGCCTGCATCGATGACTAATGAATTTGAATATCTGCGTCTCAAATTGTGATGCAAAATTCTCATTGGTCAGATGCTATAATTTTTATGTTTCTGTTGAGCTCTATATATGTCAACTGCTGAAGCACTATGCATAAAAAACACATTAACTGATCAAATTGGTCTTGGCCATCTTATCTCAAAACACAAAATGTTCTGTTTTGAGAAAACAGTATTTAAAACATTTGAACTTTTGTAAACGTGCGCCGCTTCGGCGCTGGTATAATTAAAATTATAATTCACACTCTCCGGTTGAAATGTATGGAATACTTATGGTACATTACAGAGCACATTTTATTCATGTTTGTTCTTTGTTTTATTTTTAACAATAATAATACCACAACTATTGTTCCAAAAGAAACTGGCAGTGTAGGTTTATAATAAAAACAATTACTAATATCATATTGATACTTAAACCAGCCTGTTTTGCCGATGATGTAGACGCACCTCGAACAGAATGTCCCCAAATAAATCTTTAATACCTGATTGACGGATAACCTCCTTTAACCAACGTGAGAGCGTGGGTGCTGTCACCTGTTCATGTGACTTTTTAAACGAGAGGAATAAACGCTGTTGCATGTTGTCGGTCGTGTCTTTTCGCCATTCTTTTGTTCTATCCAAGTAGGCAGAAAGGCATGCCACTGGGCAGAGTAACCTTTCAGCAAATTTAGGGTAAACAGAATCCCCAAGTTTGCCATTATGCGAACACTTTTGAAAAACCGTGTGTTGGAACTTTACGCCTTCTGGGAAATACTTCATGTATCTTGTGTCCAACGATGCCATAATAGAGCCTCGCTCTGGACATGCCAATACCATCAGCATACAAAGTTTCTGTGACAGTTGCTTGTCAGACAGTTGGGCATTCTCTCCCAATAGACTTAAGTATTTTGTTGCAACGTTGCAACGTTCCAAGTGTGCTGATAGTGTGGCTGAGGGGGTCGAGATATTGAAACTCCCTTCATTAGCTTTATGATTAACGGGTGTTGGCCGATCAGTTTATTATCAACGTGAACATGTGCTAACAAAATAGCAGATCGCAGCACATTAATCGTTCTGTATTGCTTCTCCTGCTCGAATTGTTCTGCCAAAAACATTAAGACCTCGGAGACTGGACCAAGTACGGGATCACTCTCCCATCCTTCACACCAGCGACTCCATTGAGACCAGGAACGGTTGTATTCCTTGGTGGTTGAGGTCTTAACGCTGTTGGTGAGCAGGTCGATAGCTGTTGATGAAAGGCCTGCTGTTTCATAATGTTGACTGATATTCACCTGATATCGCCTTTGGGTGGGACACGTCCGTCAGGAGATTTGGATCGCTCCCCAGATAAATTGGGTAGTTTATCACAGCAGCTGGGAAATTTGCTGCCGCTTTGCAGAGAAATTGCTGGCGCACATGATATTTTACAAAAATTCGAAAATTTGAAAAAACAAGACGAGTGAAATTTCAACTGATGATTTTGCATTTTTAAGACGACGATCAAGGAAATCAAATTGTAGGAAAAACTTCACTAACATCTCAAGTATGGAAAGCATCAACATTATCAGCATTTTAGTTTGTGGAATGATTCAAAATTCAGGCGATAAAGTTACATGGCTAGGAGTTGGCTTTTATGCTCTTCGAATATCCATTTTCATTCGAGGATTACTGCAACTTGTTGGTCTCATGGGTACCAAAATCGACATAAACGTAAACCAGTAACCAAGAGCTATAACAAAAATCGCTTTGCAAAAAGATAAACTCTATTCAGTCAAAATGATGAGGGTAAATAAACATGCTACTGCGTGATAGTGATTTCGAAGCAACTTTCTCGTATATATTTTAAAAAGTGGGATAATGAATCAGATTTTGCTTTTTGCAATCCCAAAAAGGTATGAAAATTATTTAAATATTTGAGGTTTCCATGTTTATAAAGTGTTTTTTAAGAAAAAGAAACATTTTCCCGAGAAAAAAAGCATAGTTTGTGCAGAAAACTGTTTTTTGAGATAGAAGATCCTGGGAGAGGGGGTGTAGAAGCATGGGCGGACAGCAAAAAACCTTGACTTTTGCTCCAAAAAATTAATACCAAATTTTGTTTTGCCTTTGTTTAATGTGTAATTTAAACAAGTTTTTTTACATTTAAAAATTCCGCATAGTCATCAAAACTTGTATTATGTTTGCAGTATTGGCTATTTGTTTACTTTTGGAAGTCAAAGTTTGAGGTCCAATTATTTTTAAAGTTTGCTAACTACCCAGCTAATACTTGGCTGTTGTTTGCAGCCTTATATGCTGATTAAGATTTAGTTTGGTCCACACTATTAGATCCTTTCAATGAAGGGAAATTAAAAATAGTATATTTGATTATTTTTGCAGCACAGTCAGTACATAGGTAGGGTGCAATACCAGGCCAAATTGCAAAAAAAATTTGCCTATTGCTCCAAATTCAGAATCATATTTTTTTGCGCCCATGGCACATAGGAAACAGAATTTAACAATAAATTTTGTTGAAAAATTTCGCTTATGGGTCTTATTTCGCTTTGAAATGCATGCGTTTACCTGCTCTTGTATGATGCAAGAGTTCGAAAACATTCGAAGTACCATGAAATTTATGAAAATGTTATGAAATCGACAACTTGACTTGCCCTTGAGATCTTGCTACTGCCTCGGCACTGAAATGTTTTTTGACAACGATAATTTACCAGTGTTTCTTGGATATTTTCCTTGTTTAACTCGTAAAACCGAACATACAAGTGCATCTGAAGACTGAGTGAGAGTTTGCTGTAGAAATATGTTGTTTACGGGGAGTTATTTTGCATTCGCAAGGCGTCAACAAAAGCCGGCATTTTCGCCACAGTTTGATTATCATATCAATAGATAAAAGCTTTAAAAATTCAATTGAAATACATTTTAAACCGCCCGTATTTGAATAGAATATATGCTAGTCGTATTAACATTGAACTTCTTTCTGTTTCAACCAAAATTTGTACTTGTTTTGCATTTGACAAGGCTGTCAAGCTCGCGTCCTCGCGACGATTCAGTGGCGTTTTATACCGAGCATCAGATTCAGTCTTGTTTGTGTGAGGATTATAATATTCTATTGCTCTTCAAACAGATATTCTATACACTGGAAACGTAGAGTACATTTTACTTTGTCTTTGACTCAAGCAAAAAAGTATAAAGTTTAAACAGGCAATTCAAAAATATCTTGAAAAATATACAACAACCACGAGCGTCTTCGCTATATTTCTTCGGGGAAATCTTCAAGTTTCAATGGAAATTTTGGTTAATCTGGCGCATGCTCAGACAAATTTCCCAGCTGCTGTTTATCACTAGATCGATCAACAGAGAGGCCACCCAAGTTGAGCCAACCATAGGGGGGCAATCAAGACTAATGTCACCTTCTGGTTTGTGAAGGACCGCTGGGATCAAATTGAATGGAGGGAATGCGCAACAATTTTCCAATCGTTGTGGTCCCTCATTTTGCGCGATTCTTCGTCCGCAACAACATTGTTCTTGTTCACTGGTTATCCACCAAATCAAATACAATTTCGCTTTTTGGAGAGGTTCTCTTGTGTGTTGTAATCGGACGTCTGATGTAGAGACTATCTGTACAAGTTGAATGTGATGATAATGTAAAGGGGCAGACCAAATCACTGGGCGAGTGAATTCTAGGAGCCCCAGGACCTGTGATATTTGCCTGATGGAAGGCTGATGTGTCTTCAAAAGATGCCGACACTCTCTTAGAATATTTTCTGATTTTTTCTTTGGCAAAATAAATTCCATCGTTGTCGAGTCTATGAGCATCCCCAAGAAGAGGACCGTGGGTACTAGTGTTGACTTTTTGTAATTGATCAGAAACCCTAATGATTCCAGTAGACTTATAGTCATACATGTGTGTTGGTTTAATGTTTCGATTAATGGGGCTAGCACGACTATATCATCTAGAAAAATAATCATTCAAACACCCAACTAAAATACGCTGAAATGTACACGCTTGATTGTTGCCTTTGTGTAACAATGCTTCGATTCCCTTGCTTACTAACTTGTAATTTTGCAACAACGGGCGAGGAACAGTTTTTTGAACAGGAGGACTGTGAAATTAAATTTGATACTCTTGAACGATTTCTAAAATGGTAGGATCTTGTGTTATATTTAGCCAGTTTTTTTATGAAGAAAGGAAGGCGCCCCCGTTAGTGGGAGCTGTTGTTTTGCTTGCCTCGAAAGGGCTGCTGCTGGAATTGAAATCTGCCCTTCGCCTGGTGAGGGTAGCGATTTGAGGCAAAGGGAGTCGGGCAAAAATTTTGGTTTTTTGATTGGTATTTTTTCAATTGTGGTTTCGACCATGAAGATGTTTGTGGGTGCTGTTGATTTAATTTTTTTTGTAAATGTCAGCACTATCAGCTGCTATTTTCGTAATGTCCTCGCCAAACAACTGCTATCCTGCATTTGGAAAAGGGGACTTCTGCAAGCGAAATATTTGCCAGATTTATAGCGTATAGAATCTTAGTTCTACACAACACCGAAAGGGAATTTGCTACATACCCTAGCAAACAAATGGCCCGTTCAACCAGGCTTAACATTTGATCATGTGATAATTCTTGTTTGCTTTCTAGCAGATCATGGAGAGCTGTCAATGGAGCCCGCCACGTTTAGGACATGTCTCTGAACCTTTATCAGTTTTTTATCACGGTTTTCAACTGACTTTTTATAATTTTTTAAAATTTGATCCACAATAGGTTTATTAAGTTTTGGCGTTGTAAACATGTCTAAATCAGGAAGAGACGTTTCTTCCAAAATACTAAAAATTTGTGATGAGAGACTGCGACAAAAATTTGTCTCTAAAAATTCTTTAAATACCGTAGAAGGCTCCCCTAGGATCTTCAGCCACAGGATCAAATGGTAAGCGCTTTGCACTATCCTGGCTAGACTGGGCCTCCCCTTCGGAAAGGTTCTTTCCGCCGTTGCCATTGTTGTTTTCTGATAAACAAGTGGTGTCATTGTTATGACCTTGGGTAAGTGATTTGCTCGTTATGTTGCCAACTTTGTGGCTAAAATTGGGGTCCAGGATTACTGGACTATAACTTTCTATATCTGTGTCCGGTGGGACAGCAATAGAAAGCTGATCTGAGACATCTGTTGGTTCAGGACAACTTGTGTCATCTTGTTCGGCTGCCATATTCTCGGTGTATTTCAGCCTTGCAAATTCAAGGCTTGTCATGTGTTCATTGAGTTTCTCTACTGTAGAACTGATCGTAGACATTTTGTTTAAGAGTTGTTCTAGTATCGGGGAGTTATCTTCCCCATGGTTTGTAGGTGAATTCGGTCGTCGACGCTTCTTAGATCTTTTCCGATCGATGCTGTGATTTGGCAGGAGATTTTGAAGTGTCTTTACTTCTTGATTGTGAACGTTTTCTACTAGAACTCATCCTAGACCAACTGTATATGTTGGAAAAATATAAATTTCACTGAAAAAAAAAAGGAAAGGTGCAAGAAACTAGGATAAAATTGCACTTACCTTAAAATACAGCCACAGTATAGGGATGAACAGTAGTGCCACTCATGGGATAGCAAAGTGTCCACAGCTTTCAATTTAGGTCCCAGAACTTTTACGCCAAAAATTCGGCAGCCAGTAAACAACAAGAAATTATAGTACAGAATAATTGTGTTTTAGCACAAAATGGCCTATTTTCCTTCAACAATGGGATTAATTCTTATTGATGCGTCATATTATACGAAAACAACATGTGTGATTACATTAACTGCATTTGTAGTTGTCAAAAATCAGTAGAAATGCAGAAATTTCAAGTTTATGTCTGTGCTTTCTGCTTTGGTATATTCCCACGAGAGTGTGTTGCTGCAGTGATTGCTGTGAGTTGTCCTCCTGTTGGATATGTATTATAAATACGAGTTGTTAGTTTTGTCAAGTTGATGGTTTATCATAACATATCTGATCATTCAGCAAGCCATACTTTTGCATGTAATAGTTCTGATTTTAACGATTATAGTTTATAAGTGAGTAACTTTTAGTATGTATTTCTTGTTCTTTCTGGGGGGATTTGGACTTTATAACAAACATACTTGCAGGGAGGTGAGTCCGGGATTGGATGCACCGAGGGTGGCTAGAAGTTTCCCGAAGTTACCAACTGAAGCGAGGTGAGTTTGGGAAACTTCCAGCGATCCAAGGCTTCCAGCCACTCGATGTTTTGTCAACATTTTCCGAGCCAAAAAAATCACTGGGCAAGAAAATAATTCTTTATCTACGTCTAGATTACCTTTACTGCATTTTTCTTTGGTTTTTCTTCAGTCTCAGCAAGTTAGTCACCAAAAAAAGTTCAATAAAGCCTAGGTTTATCGGCTAAAATCCTGTCTGCCACATTTGTTATTGTTATTGCAAGTTGCAATGTGAGCAGTTTCGCAGGTGAGTTCGGCGAAAAGCAGGTGATTCAGGCAAAAAGCAGGTGAGCTCGACGACAAAGTCACCTGGTCTAAACCAATCAGAAAGCCGCTTTTAACACGGGTATGGGATAAGGTAGCAGGACAAGTCACAATTAGCAAACTTCAAGCAGTAATAAATTCTCATCGTAAGGAACAATTTTCGTAGGTAATCAAGAGGGAAATTTTTGCACATTTGGAAAGATACAGGTACATTTTCTAATTTTGCAAGAAGATGCTTTCCAATACACAAACTCTTTGAAAAAACTGAAAAATTGGCTACAAAAGCATCTTCCATTTTTGTTACAAAGTCCAAAAAGGACATCAATGGCACATGCCAACCACCAAAGCTTGATTTATCGGTGTTGTATGCCTTCAAAAAACAAAATAGTTTTCTGTTGTCATCTAATGTGTTGGATATTAGTTTGTCCTTACACACTTGACATGTATGTCTTTTCAGGCATTTCATCAGTAGGTACCCTGCCACATAACAAGTTGCATTGGTTTCATTAAGACCATCACCGACATTCTTATCACTATAATCTGTAGCACCGATGTCCAGGGTATTTGGCTGTTCTTCTGGGCTGACCAGGACAGGCATATTTGATTTATCTTTGGAACACTGAGCAAGAAAAGTATCCAAGTCTTGATCATAATTACCCGTTGAAGATTCAAGGAAAGAACTGAAAAACAATTTACGGAAAGCCCGAGTAAATTGAACTGGTGTCAGGTTGTCACTATTTCCTCCTTGTTGACTAATTGCACCAAAGAAATTTTCTATGGGATCCATGTTCATGGATAACCAATGAATTGCTGCTCATCCAGGGGCTATCAAAATCAGAAAAATTTCCCTCTGTGCCACCTCTGCACTGGCACTCAAATTGGGTTAACCCATTGAGTGGCAGCACTGTTGATGAGTAGAATAATATGGCGTTGGACAGAGTAAAATAATAATTTGGGCTCATTGCCACTCAAAGGGTTAAATTATCTGGCCATATGCCTTTAGTTAACCCATTGAGTTGCATTGTGCCTGATGCACCCCTACTTTATTATTTTACTCTGTCTAATGCCAGATGATGGCAGCGCTCGATCAAAGAGTTAACTTAAATTGTTGCAGCACAGTTGCCTTGAATTTTGTATTTGTTAACATGAAATATTGTTTATATTTTTGCATACCTTTATCAGTTGGGTCCCCTTCTAGTTTTTGTCTTTTCTCTATGTGAAGAATATTAATTTATTTAGCCACTTGACAGTAACTCTGTTAACCCTTTTATCAAATCAAATTTATTTTGCCAAATGAATATAACATAGTAGTTACAAGTTACAATTAACACACACACAAAAAAATTATATAACAATATAAAGAAATACCGAGTGAAGCGAGGTGAGTTCGGGAAACTTCCAGCCACCCTAGGTTTGGTTTTTACCCCATACACCGAGCCATACACACACTTGTAGCTCTTTGTGATATATTGTCAATGTTTTGTGAACATTTTCCCGGCCAAAAAAATCACTGGGCAAGAAATACTTCTTTATCTACTTTCTACATTACCTTTATTGCATTTTTTCTTTGGTTTTTCTTCAGTCTCAGTATGTTAGTCGCTGAAAAAAGTTCTCTAAAGTTTAGGTTTATTGGCTAAATCTTGTCCGCCATATTTGTTATTGTTATTGTTATTGCAACGTAGGGCAGTTTTGTGAATGGAACTGCATCACAATGCATCACCCTGCATCACAGTGAATCACACTGCATCACAATGCATCACAGTGCATTACAGTGCATTACAGTGCATCACAATACATCACATGATCGATTGGAACGACCATAGATAACTGGATCCTTTGTTAATATTATTTTTGTTCTTTGCAGGTTTACATTTTGTGAAGGAAAGTAGTATTGTTGTCGTCAGGTTTCTGGTTACAAATTCGGGCTTGTCTGCTATCGTGGTACGGATTTGTCAATCCTCTACTTGGCAGGAAGCAGTCGATGTGTCCTTTATAGACCCTTTTCACTGATGTCACAAATCCTTAGAGTGTCCTCCAGATGCTACCTAACAATATCTGTTCAGGTACAACAACCACATACAGCAAAAAAATTAACCATTTTAATATAAAATTATTATAAACTTTTACAAAATTTGCTTTGTTTACAAAAGTTATATGATGCGTAGATTGCTAATTTGTCCTCCAGATGCATCGTTACTGGCACTGTGACGTCAAGTGCAATGGGTCTATTGTTAAGTGTTGACTGATAGGTGGAGGTTATAGTTATCGATCATCATCATTGTATTTTGGGAGATGAGTGAAGACTTTTGGAATGGGAAATTCTTTAATTTGTTTGTGTAACATAAATTCCTTTTATTAATTACAAAAGTTCATAAAGTTCATTTTATTAATTCCTAACATTGTCTAAGCCGAGAACATCTGAGCTGAAGTTTATATAAATTAACATTTTTTATCACATATAAAACCACCGACACGGTTGCAATTTTCCTTTCTATTCTCTTCATCAATTATTATATTAAGCTAGTCATGAGAAGAGCATCTTTATTATTGGCGTAATAGCGTTTAATAGTGGTACCATGTTCCGGTTTTCTGGTGTTCATGGTTTTACTAATATCCCCCTATTGTCGAGCAAAAAAAAACCCTACGCGCCATATGACGTCATCATTATGCATGGATCAATTCCTGCGGTTACCATCCCCCCCGGGCAATACCCCGGGATTTGTATTTTTTTTTGCAAGAATGTAGTAAATTTCCCACCCCCGGGACTTTAAAACTTGACAATTCCCTACCCCGGGGCATCACAACATTGTACTGTTGAAAAAAAAAATAAACTACCTACCTTCAAAAATAGGTTTTAATTTTTGTAAGTTGTTTTTTCCAACCATTCTCCAACAAATTCGCAAATTTTCCCGAAAAAGCCTCTTGAATTGAGCACGAGGTAGTCGCCATTCTGAATACTTTTGAACATGCGCTCACTGAGCTATATACATGTCACTGGAAGCGCTAGCTGCTAGATACATGGTCAAAACATGGTCGTGGATACGAGTTTTGCTTTTTACCCTGTGGAAACCCCGGGACAAAATTTTTTAACAATTCCCCACCCCCGGGATTAAAGTTTCTGCATTAGCCCGGGGGTTGCCCGGGGGGGGGGGGGGAATGGTAACAACAAGAATTGATCCATGCATTATCAAAACAAATCACAAACAACATTACCATAGGTAACAAGTCAAATGAATTTGTTATTAACTTGCAGCAAGTCTGCACATGTCAAGTTGCAACAAGCCTGATTTTAACAGACTTGCTGCAAGTTGTTTTATCAGACTTGTCAAGACTTGTTATCCACAAGCTTGCTGCAAATTGTTTGAACAACTTGCAGCAAGCTTGCGGGTAACAACTTGCAGCAAGTCTGATTTTCTCAACTTGCATCAACATTGATGCATTCATCGAACTTGCTACAAGTTGTTCCATCAGACTTGTCAAAACTTGATATCCACAGACTTGATACAAGTTGATGAAACAAGTTGCATCAAGTGTGGAGTAGAATAATTGCAGCAAGCTTGCGGGTAACAACTTGCAGCAAGTCTGATTTTCTCAACTTGCATCAACATTGATGCATTCATCGAACTTGCTACAAGTTGTTCCATCAGACTTGTCAAAACTTGATATCCACAGACTTGATACAAGTTGATGAAACAAGTTGCATCAAGTGTGGAGTAGAATAATTGCAGCAAGCTTGCGGGTAACAACTTGCAGCAAGTCTGATTTTCTCAACTTGCATCAACATTGATGCATTCATCGAACTTGCTACAAGTTGTTCCATCAGACTTGTCAAAACTTGATATCCACAGACTTGATACAAGTTGATGAAACAAGTTGCATCAAGTGTGGAGTAGAATAATTGCAGCAAGCTTGCGGGTAACAACTTGCAGCAAGTCTGATTTTCTCAACTTG